CTTCATGATCTAAAACATGTACGTGTGCATTGTGCTTCAATGAAAAAATATGGGGTAAACGTCAGTGAGACAGCCACCTAGTGACAGAAATAACCAAAAGACATGTGCTCGGTTTGACGGTAAACCAGATATATGCGAGATTCCCTCACAGGAGAAAGGAAGAAAGACCATCATTCACAATTTGTCTTACATTTGTTTTTCTCTCTTTTTATTAAATAAAAAAAAAACCTTTCAAATGTTGAGTTCATATGATAATAATATTCCCTGTGGAACAACCCCACCCCCTTTCTTTTTTTTTTTTTGTGCTCTCCAATTTCAACCCTCAAATAAGGCTTTCCAATGTAATTAAAATTAAAACCTTGCTTTCTAACCAATCTATTCATGTACCGGACCGGGAACTTTCTTTATTCAATAAGAAAATCTACAGTGCCGTTATATAAATGCGTGTTGTCTGCTTGGAGTCCCCGCACGAAAAGAAAGAAATAGCCTAACTCCAAGATACTACATTCTTGCATCACGTGATTTTTGCCACGTGGAGCTTACATTAGAATGAATACCGAATATGGAAAGTGAAACTACAATTCGAAACATAAAGTCCGAAGGCACATAGAAGAAATAGAAGGTTTTTTTTTTTTTACAAAGGGTGCCGGGGTAATCTTCTCTGTGTTCATAATATACATGAAATATTTGCCACTGCCACTTGTCTGTTCTATAAATTCTAACACTGAGTTTTCTATCTGTTACATGCCAAGAAATCCTCTCTAAAAATTCCGGTGGACCTCCTACGGCACCTATTAGTAGTTAAAGATTTGATTTCATTCAACAAATTAATTTATGACCTGCATGTATGTGTCGCTTAGAACACGGCCATATACCAAATGGTCGATATTAATCATCCATGTAATTTGATCTATGGGATGTTTGCAAAATTTCAACGGAGGCAATTTCTTGGCATGGCTACAGACAAATTATTTCTGAAATAAAATGAAACGTTTTTAAATTACCACTGTCCTTTGGAAATAATTTAAAAATGACTATACGATATAAAAAGTATAGAAAAACAACATAACGAAGCCAAACAGGATAAGAAATTCAAGCGAAACCGTTCATAGCAACAGCTCGAGTTCCGTTTTAGATGAAAATCAAATTTTAAGAGAGATTAGTTTAAAAACACTGAGAAAAGACGTTTTAAAAAACAAAAAACACTCAGTCGAAGATAATGTAGTCGTAAATCTGTCAATAGAAATAACTGACCCTGATGAAAAAATAGTGAGTAAAACCTTAACTTCTGTCCAGTACCAGCTTACGTAAATAATTTATAATTAGAGACGACAGATGTAGAATAATTTACAATGGATCTTCACTTGAAAGAACATTTTAATAGACAACAAAAGAAAAATTTAAAAGAAGCCGGAATGAATGAATCTGAATATGAGAGGGAAGAAGGAAACATATGCATCCCTAATTAAAAAAAAGAAAGAAAAGTACACGGAATGAAGGATTTGTATAGTAAGATAATATAGTAAGATAAGATCTTACTATACAAATCCGTAATAGAAATCGTATAAAAGTAAAACGACAATTTGGAATTATTTATAACATCAGTAAAGCTGAAGTCAGATCTTCAATCTCTGGTAAACACGTACGGAGTTTTTCAAAATGAGAAAGCCAAGTCATGATGAACTTAAAAGATGGAGACGACATTGTTATCAAACAAGCATGCAGATAAAGGAAGTGCAGTTATTGTGAAACAATAAAATTAAAGAAATCATTAACAGACAAATTGCAGTGAACTTTGACAACAATAGCTTCTTCTTTCAAACTGCCTTATTACTATCAAAATACAATCTACCGGACATTTTTGACAAAAACATTCCAATTCCATCAAAACTATCCTGGAAGAAATTAGTAAAAACAGAAATCTCATCCTTCTGGACCCTCAGACTCAAAGAGGAAGCTCTCCAAATGTCATCTTTAAAATTTCTGAACCTCAACTTTGGCATTGCAGAATCAACTCATCCTGTATGGGACTCAGTAGGTCAAAATATGATAGAAATTCGAAAAGCCACTACAAAAGTAAGGATGCTGACAGGGACCTACATGGTACAAGCCGACAAACACAAGTTCAGCCAATATACAATTGACCCCACATGCCTGCTATGCCACAGGGAAATAGAGGATATCTTACATGTCCTAACAACTTGTCCTGTTCTAGGCAGTGAGAAAAAAGAATACTTCACTCCTATTAAACAACTTGTGACTGAAAACTCTCCTCCTGGAACATGGAAACTGCTGTTTAACAATAAACTAGCAGTTACGCAACTTGTACTGGACTGTACAAAATATAGCAAACAACTTGGATTCAAAGAAGAGATAATTCATAAACTGGAAACGCTTACAAGACACTTCTGTTTCAAGCTACATTACCAAAGAGTATCTCTTCTAAAAAAGCTAGACGACTGACAATTGTCATTAAGAATTGGATGATGAAACATAGACAATGGAAAAGTGAAATATTAGAAAAAAATTTGAACTATAATGATTGTTACTGTATATATCGTTCCAACTATTCTGTAACAAGTACTTTATTTTTATATAACTTTAAGAAAGTTATCTGCTGGTAAAATGAATGACTAATTATTTGGGTTATATGACCTTCTGTAGATTGGTTTTATCATTTTTATGTATATCATTGTATATTTTATCTACTATGATTTTTTTTTTACATTTCACTGTCAATGTATAGCGCACCACCATTGGATTTTACCTTGATGTAATATATTTTATCCCTGTTTCTTCCCCCTATTGAATATTTTAATATTACCCGCTAAGGGGTGTTCCTTATAATAGGAAGCTCATGCGAAGAAAAGAAAGATGTGATTAAATAGACCGACTACATCGTCAGTCCTCTTATACTATTTTCTATGTCTTGAGTATTCAACATGTGATCCAACAAAAGAAACAGCAATAAAAATGAATAATGTCCTCTCAGAAATGAATACATCTTAACTTGCTGTTCATGTTTACTATTAAAAGTTTTCTCTCTATTATAGTTTTCAAGATAACAGGCAAAAACACTTAATATGGATAAAAAATCGTCATTTAAGAGCAATAAGTCCAATAAGGAGTCGACTGACGATTTCGGTCGTAAGATATATTCGTAGATCTTGTCTTGCTAATCAATTTTGCTAATTTAAGTTTTTATCTATCTATTATAGTTTTCAAGTTAACAGGCAAAACACTGACAATGGGTAAAAATCGTCATTCAAGAGCAATAACTCCAATAGTGATTCATCAGACGATTTCGGTCAATTCGACTTATTTGTAGATCTTGTCTTGCTGATTATTTTTGCTAATTCAAGTTTCTGTCTATCTATTTTGATCTTTAAGATATAAGGCAAAAACTCAGATAAAGGTAAAAATCGTTATTAATGGGCAAAAACTCTAATAAGGAGTCGTCGAATAATTTCGGTCATGTTAACTGATTTGTAAATCTTGTCTTGTTGATCATTTATCATTTTTATGCAATAAAAAGTTTCTTTCTAACTTTTACTGTTTTAAAAATAATAGGCAAAAATGAAAATAAGTAATAAAATTCATCATTTAAGGGCAATAACTCCTATATTAAACTCGGGGTAACAGTCTGCTCTATCATCCTCTCAGATATGTGTTATTTATACAGTGCTGCATCTCCTTTTTTGACAGTAAACAGTATAAATCACATGTTATCAATTGATTGTATTATGACTAAACAAATTTTTATTGTGCTTTCTCCTTTTCTCTTACTTTTTGTTATTACACTGATCAAGTTTTAAAAGGGAGTTTTATGTTAAAATTTTGATGTTCATATATCTGTCCAAAGACTTAATTTAGGAGTCTTGCAAGTGGCTGTCTTCATCTTACGTATCTTTATACATTTTATCCTTGAAGACATTTGGGAGGGTCTGGATTGGAGTCTTCATTTTTGTATTCTTTAATTTGTTAGTTCATTTTTCTGTATTCTTTATTTATTTTGCTCATTATTCTCTATTCTTTATATTTTAGCACCCCATTATTCTCTATTCTATTTTTTGCCCTATTTTTCTCTATTCTTTATTTTTTCCCCATTTATTCTGCACATTTTGTCCATTACTCTCTATTCTGTAAACCCCATCCAGACCATCATTTTGTGTTAATGGCAAATCTTTGATAACGTATATTAAATATATTCCCAACTTTTCTAGACTTAGGGCTATTGTGTGAAGTATTATATACATAACAATTTATGGACATACTTTGAGACCTGATAATTATTCAAAACAGAAATCCAGAATAGATAGCTATCAGACAAGATATAAATATCCTACAAATTTCAATCCATCATTATGCCACAAAGACGATCCTCAAAAGACTGAAACACCTGTGGGACTATGAAACACAACCAGGGGCTATTAATTGCGTGTGTTTGCATTACCCCTTAACCTATAATTTGGGGCTATATAGTGCTTGAAACTTTGTAAATAGACACTTGCCCATTGTAGAAGATGGTATGTTGACCTTTAGATATTTTGTGTAACTGTGTTGCCGTCATATTGATGTATACCATGCATCTCCTTTTATTCTTATAACATTATTTGTAATATAAACATACTTTCTTGATTACATCACAACAATAAACTGACCAATCTGATGACCACTATTAATAAACCTCTGTTTTCAGACTATGTGGTTTTTTTTACCAAACCCTTAAGATTTTTTCCCTTGTTAATATATTGTTTAAACCAATATATATTTTGATAGAAATTATATTTTTCATTTGATATCTTTTTTCATATATATATTTCTATTGGGAATATGAATTTTGAGTTTCATTTAAATATCTTATAAGATTTTTTTTAGATATAGAAAATAAGTAGTGTTTTAGTAAGGTAAAAAGACGAGGGGTTTGGTAAAAATCACCTAGCAGAAAAGTTTAATGTCAGGATGTACGCAATTGTGTCTACTAAGAAATAATTTCAGACTCAACAAAAGCAACTGTTTATTTAACAAGACATATAAACACATTCACAAACATACTTTACCATAAAGTATAGCATATATAAACAGCAAGGAGATATTCATACGGTAACAATTAACAAGATCAATAAATGACATGATATGAATATATAGATTCTAAAGGGATAAAATATTTCGTAAATTGAAACTTTCATATTTTAGGAGAAAAAATAAACTATCTAGCATTAAATTGTATCTCATACCATAACAAAAATATGACCAAAGCTTGTAAGCAGGTAAGATTGCAATTAAATTTATTTCGAGCATATAAGCAAAAGGAAAAAAATAATAAAAATATAAAATCAATGAATTTCAATTAGGTGGATACAAGGTTTATTATCCCCCTACAAATATATCTGACTTGGACTATGACCTCAGTAAATATAACAATTTGCTTACTTTCTTTTAAAATGCAGTTTTTAAAATATTGTGATAAAATAATAATATAATAATAATGAAGATGTGGTATAATTGCCATTCTAATATGACGTTCTTCGAACGCTTTGAGTACACACTTGTGATAAAATTCGAATATATTCATATGTCAGCTGATAGGCAATGTCATGATTTGTTTGGGCTGTTCCAATCCTACTCCCACGTCGTATGCTTTTTATGAATGATTTACCTCACATCAAATGGTGTAAATGACGTCATTGAACGATGACATAAGAATGTAAGGATTTTACGGGAAAATGCATGAATGGGAAACTGAAAGTCGTCAAAACATGAAAACATAAACAAACGGATGGTAAGAATTTGTATAATGTCCATATCTTCTTAAATGAAAGTAAGATAATCAATTAAATTCATCAAAATCTATCTTAGTATGTTATTGTATATCGTTTAAGAATGTCACTTATTCATTTTTCTTCGTCGTTTATGTCAATATTAAAAGTGTGTTCGATTCCGAGAACAGCAAACATTCCCCTTTACATAGAGTGCTTCAATTAGAATAGAAATAATTCATGGGGGCTTGAATTTATATTAATTTTACCACGGGTTGGCCCTTTATGCTGATATTTCACCCCTCGCTTCGCTCAAGGTAAAATATTTAGCATAAAGGGCTAACCCATTGTAAAATCACGATAAATTCAAGCCCCCGTGAATTATTTCTTCAATGAAACAACTCTTCACAAGAGATCAAATGATTCAGAAATAAGTAAGTATAACTATAGGTCATTGCATGTATACATAAAAATATGTATATATTTACCAATAAAATATAAATCAAAATAAAATTATTTCAAGAAATAATAACAATTATAAATTGTAAAATTATATTATGAAAGAAAACTAGCACAAAATATCTGCCATGAACAGATACAAACAAGCATTTGCTTTCAAAGAAGCATGTTTTGATTATGCTCATATGAAAAACAAAAATACCATTTACTACAACTATGGGACTTTCATCTTGTTCATAAATATAATTATATATACAATCTAGCATGCTTTTTGAAATATTATAATTTGTTATGAATGGCTGGTTTCCACTTGTCATATTTATAAAAAAAAAATATAGTTTTTATAGTACCATTAAATCATACTTGTCACATTTGTAAAACAAATTCTAGTATTTAGTTTTTATAATTCTAGTACCATTAATTAAAAGATCAATCAAATGTCCTTATCTATATGAGGACAAAGTCCTCAACAACAGTAAGAAAATCAATATAAAAATCAAGCTACTAATTCATTTGTTAGCTTTTTTCTTAAAACATTTGCAACTCTGTTGACATAGGCTGGCATGTTGTGATGCAAACCATTTCTGGCAAATTTGTATATCTGATTACCAAAAAGTATCATTAAAATAAAATTGAATTTTTTCCTCTTTCACATGTAACACCTGTCTCATTATGAAGCAGGATCAGCATTGCAAAATTAAAGTATACATGTTAATGCTTGTTATATTCACAAAATAATAAATTTACCTGTAATCAATGATTCACAATAAAAAAAAATGCATACATAATTAGAGATGTATGTCTGACAAATTAAAATCCATATACTATAAAAAAAATATATATATATATTATGAACACATGGCATTATATAATTATTTGGTCCTTCGGTTAGTACGAGACTTGCACTGCAAAATCACACTTATAAATATCAAATATATTCTTTTGTATTCAGTGCTTCAAAATATAAAATAAAATTTCATAAAATGTTTGAATATTCTCTTTTGAAGGATGAAGGTAGGTCTTATATAAAAACTATAGATTGACTTTATTATACATTTAGTGATTTAGCAAATAAGTAAATTTATTTCCAAGTCAATGATATATTTTATAAAAACAAATTTTACTACCACGAGAAGGCAAAATATTTTAGATATATAAATAATACTAAAAATATCAGTAAAGAAAAAACTTTACAATTCAGATCTTGATTTTTCAGAAGATATGATGCATTGTACACGATGTCCTGGTATAAATCTTTAGTTATATCAAAATGATTATACACTATTTGTTTCTGTCAACTCTCATCACACATTAGAGACCAGATTAATGTCAGGTATTTTTTACACCCACACAAATGATAAAAATCTCCTTTTTCAAAAGAACTGCTTTTAATATTCAGTTTTTAGAAAGGTGACAAAAAATCTTAACATTTTCATTTTTTTAATCTATTTATTACATATTGAAAATATCAACAATTCTAAGCCTTGAAAAGGAGTTTTGAGTCACTTTAAATTGTGTGCAAACATTTCCAAATTCATGAATATGATGAAAACAAAATTTATTTTGGAAAATAATACATTTAAATGTGACTCAACTCTCTGTCTCCTTTTGTTGACTTAAATTTCATTGATCATAGTATAGAAAAGAAGGCATGCTTGACAGTTTGATGCACATGTTGTTCCACAGATAATATACAGAATCGTGTACTATGTCAATGTTTATCTAGTTTTTTTTTAATTTGTCTAAAAATAATTTAAAAAATAGTAATATTTAAAAACTGAGATGTCAATGAACTTTCTCCTATTTCCTTAATTTCATAAAAAAATATTTAAAAATATGATTGGAAAATGAAAATAAAAAATATTTATCTAAAAATAAATCAAATTTTAATTGATTCATTTTCTCGAATAATTTCAAAATAATAGTCCATGTAGTGCAAATAATAAAACATGATTTGTATTTATCAAAATTATGGCGGAAGATTTCTTCAGTAATGTTTGCACAGGGCTCCCAAAAGGCATTTCTTATAAGTAATAACCATATAAAATTTTTTGCATAGCAAAAGTAAAATTAAAAGTGCATTTTACCCCCAATAGCCCTTCCACCTTGTCCCTACTCCTCAAATAACATCTATTCTGAGAATAATATTCATTTCTCTTTAAAAAAGATTATAAATTTTCATTGTAAAATAATTTGCAAATAGTATCTATCTATCAAACATAAAATTCATTTGAAACATTATTTTATCAGGGAACAAATCTATTCCATTATTGATTTTTTTTCAGTTCTGAAGTTGCAAGAAATACATCTAAGAACTACAAAAATAAATGATGATTGTTAAAATATAACATTTGATAAAAAAAAAATGAAACTGATCAGCTTGTTCATTAGACAACTGGTAAAAAAAGTTCCTAAAATTTAACTTCAACCATTCATCCTTATGATTCACTGTGATGTTAACAAAAATCGAAAAAAAAAAAAAAAAAATATAGGAAGAAATATAAAAAATCAAAGACAAACTGATAAGCACAGATAATGTCATGGAAAGTGATAATGAGGTATTTAAAAAAAAATCTTATTTTCGGATTTGTTCATTCATTTTCATCAGATTTTTTCTCAAGAAGGCAAGACATTGTAACAAATGCTTAGCTACTTTTAAATTTTGTACAACATGGAAGCATGGATACTAAGTATTACAAAATGATGCGTTGATAACTTCCAATTAAGAATATTGTACTAATAAGAGGTATCGAGAAATGGTATTTTGTTAAAAAAGGAAAACAACACGTTATAAATTTCATGCGTCTGATGCACTTGATTAATACTATAAATGAAAGACAACTCTAAAATTGAAATATAAAATAATTATGTATACTTTAATCTTCCTGGAATGTATTAATACTGATCTACTTCAATTAAGTATTTCCATTTGTCCAAAATCTTCACAACAGATTTTATATCGGATATTTCTCAAAAGAACTGTTAATGGAATATCAAAATTGGAAAATGGGATGAAAATCTATCAAATGATACCAACTTTTGACCAATGATCAATTATCACAATCTATTACCCAAAAATAAATTACGAGGTAAGTAAATGATTACTCGTACAAGACTTCATGATTTGCGAGATTATCATAAAATTTCAATGTGTACATGTCAACTGCCAGACTGGAGGTTTATTAAAGTTGAAATCAAAATTTTAAAATTGTGGATCACCAGATAAAGTTTGTCGATAAACTTCTCAATATCTTGATATTAAAACACCAGTTAAAACTTGTAGACAAACTTATAAATGCATTAGAAAATCTCACACTTATAAGTTTAAATTTGGCTATAAATCCACTGATATCCAATTACCAGCTAAAATACTTATCACATGTATGGCATATATACAGTAATATATTAGTTGGGAAATAAAGCACCACCATTTGGACCAGGTATGAAAACACCACATTTACTAATAATAAACAATACAAGGGCAGATAATCCTACCACTATACATGTACCGATCACCATTTTCAATGTCGATTTCCATTTACATACAAATTTACTAGGTCCCATGAATGCTAAAAATGCAGCACAAATAGTCAGGCAGTAAACAATGGATACAGATGAATTAATGGCAAGAATTTGTCCAAATTTAGAAAACGGTAATATAGTTGTCTGGGTTAAAGGTATTGCAGCAATTATGGTTGTCATGGCACTGCTGAAAATGGATACTCCAATATGGCTGATGGCAGCTTTTGTTCTCCACTGTCTTGAACCAGCATGATCCTGGATAAAACAAAATAATCATCTGTTTCATAATGTAAATTATTCAGCTGAAAGGATGACTAAAACCAATTTCTAAATTTGAATAAATGAAAAATGTTAATTATGCATTTCTCCTTCAAGAACAGATTGAAGATACTAAAAGATAATCATACACTCTTAGCTTATGTAAGAAAGACAACAATATGATCCAAAAATTACAAAGACAGGAAACCATCAACTTAACAAAGACAAGAGGCTGTCAACATGACAGCAAACAGAATTTTATTTTAGATTTATTGTTAAAGCAAATATCTTGTGCAAATAAATTGTCACAACTCCTGAATAGAATAGAAGGAAAATTGACCAAATCAACATTGAACTAAATTTTGTCATCAGATCTTACATATATATAAGATTGAAAAGAATCAGTTGAACAAGTCTCAAGTTATTGCATGGAAAAGATATAAATAACCATTTTTCAATCAAACAAGGACCATAACTCATGCAAAAGTGAAAACAGTCCTTATTGTCATTAGAAGCAACATTTTAAACTTGAAAATGATTATGGTGAAATGGGTCTCAAGTTATGACAAGGAAACAACATAAAGCACCATTTTTCAATCAATCAAGGACCATAACTGCTTAAACACAAAATTAAAAAGGATCAAATTGACCTCCATTTTGTCAGTAGACACTATATATTAAAATGTGAAAAGAATTGGTTCAACTGCCCAAATTTATTGCATGGAAATTGTTTTAGCCACTGGCTTGGTGTACTACTGTGGATTCATCATTATTCGTTGGATACCAATATTCGTGGAATTCGTGGGTATAGGTGAACCACGAATTTAAATGTCCAACAAATTACAAATTTTATATATGCTTGTATGCAGACTTTGTCAAAACCACGATATCAAATATACACGAAATAGCAACTTTTCCTTAATCCACAAAATTGATACACACGAAAATAAATGAATCCACAGTATCCTAAATTAATTACCAGATATTTCCATCAGAAAACAACACTAGAACTGAGTTTTAAAAATCACCATATAAAAATAAGGGATGGGGTTGAACTAAGATGGTTAAGAGGGGTAAGCGTGTTCTATTTATCAACGATTTAATGAAATATAAAGACCTTTTTGCATTTTTAGTTTTGAGAATTCAAATTCATATACCAAATGTGTAATTTATGGACATTTTACAAAAGTGTATTTTGGCATGCAATGAAAATATCTTGTTTTTATAGCCTTAAAGTGTCAAATAAAGACTTACATTTTTCAAATTATCTGGAATTGCTCTCCCAGCCAGCAGGAAACCTTCCACTAAATGAACACAATAATCAACTGATGATCCTACCAGTATAGACAGGGATATAGCTTCTACTCCTCCCATCTCCCAGCCAGCCAGATAAAATATACCAGCTACCAGGCAAATCATTTCTGTCCAAAAAAATAAAATAACGTACAGACTTTACATATCCAAGATCACTTGCTTCATATACCAGGTACCTAGAAAATAAACTCTGTAAACAAGAATTAAATAGCTTAATCTTTCATCTTGATATGAACTTCTTCAATGGTGACCTTATTCTAACCTTCTCCAATGGTAACCTTATTTGACCCTACCTTTATATGAAATACTGCGACCCTTTTATAAGACTACAAAATGCTTAATTCAGTTTATTCACATTACTACATTATGTTTTGCTCTCAAAATTCCTCTTGACGCACATGATAATATTAATTGTATAGAATATCTAAATCCATTTTTTTCTTTATACATGCCATCTACCAGAAATTGAATCTGCAGTGTTTGTAGGGAAACATATTTTAAAAGGTCCGAAGTGGTTTCTATCGTCATTAAACAACTAAAATATTTTTCTTGATTGAACACATCCGACCGATATGGATTTTTGAAATTGGGGTAAATTATGAAGTTTCCAAAATACATGTACAGAATTGTTTACTAGCAGTTAACTTTATTTATTTCAGATGTTCAAGTTTTGTGCAATTCATGAAAATACCTTTTTTTTACTTGATTTAATATTCAGGAAGTTTCAGCCTGAAGCCAAAAAATGCAGATACAATTAAATTAAACATAAATAAAAGAAGAATGCAGATGCTTCTGCTTGTAAATATACAGCAGCAATTTTTATACAACCGCAAACAAATTTTGCGGTCGTATATTGGTATGATGTTGGCGTCGTCGTCCGAAGAAACATTGGTTTTCGCACTCTAACTTTAGTTTAAGTGAATGGATCTCTATGAAATTTTACCATAAGGTTCAATACCACAAAAGGAAGGTTGGGATTGATTTTGGGGGTTATGGTACCAACAGTTAAGGTATTAGGGGCCAAAAAGGGGCTATAAATTAGCATTTTTGTAACTTCCAGACATAACTTGTGTGTTAGTGTATGGATCTCTCTGACATTGTACCACAAGGTTCCATATCACAATTGAATGCTGTGATTGATTTTGGGGGTAAATGCCCAAAACTTTTAGGAATAAGGGGCCAAAAAGGGGCCAAAAATAAGCATTTTTTTAGTTTCCAGACAATAACTTGTGTTCAAGTGTATAGATCTCTCTGAAATTGTACTGCAAGGTACCATACCACAAAGGGAACACTGGGATTGATTTTTGGGGGTAATTGCCTCAAAATCTTAGGAATTAAGGGCCAAAAAGGGGAATAAAAAAACAAGCATTTTTCTAGTTTCAGGACAATAACTTGTGTGTAAGTGTATGGATCTTTATGAAATTGTACTACAAGTTTCCATATCACAAAGGGAAAGCTGGGTTTGAGTTTGGGGGTAATTGCCCTAAACGTATAGGAATTTGGGGAAAAAAAGGGGGCAAAAAACAAGCATTTTTCTAGTTTCCAGACAATAACTTGTGTTCAAGTGTATAGATCTCTCTGAAATTGTACTGCAAGGTACCATACCACAAAGAGAAGACTGGGATTGATTTTTGGGGGTAATTGCCTCAAAATCTTAGGAATTAAGGGCCAAAAAGGGGGAAAAAACAAGCATTTTTCTAGTTTCAGGACAATAACTTGTGTGTAAGTGTATGGATCTTTATGAAATTGTACTACAAGTTTCCATATCACAAAGGGAAAGCTGGGTTTGAGTTTGGGGGTAATTGCCCTAAACGTATAGGAATTTGGGGAAAAAAAGGGGCCAAAAAACAAGCATTTTTCTAGTTTCCAGACAATAACTTGTGTTCAAGTGTATGGATCTCTCTGAAATTGTACTGCAAGCTACCATACTACAAAGGGAAGGCTGGGATTGAGTTTGGGGGTGATGAATCATAAGGGGGTTCAAAAAATTTGGGGGGGGATTTTTTTTCCTTTTTTTTTTCTTTGAAATTTTCCATTTTAAATTGGTTGTTACTGATTTATATATAAAAGCAAATAATAATGATATGGTTTGAAAAGGTAAATTTAAAATTTTTAAGTTCTAAGACCACATTCATTCTGTGTCAGAAACGAACCTATGCTGTGTCAAATATTTAATAACAATCCAAATTCAGTGCTGTATCAAGCTTGAATGTTGTGTCCATACTTGCCCCAACTGTTCAGGGTTCGACCTCTGCGGTCGTATCAAGCTACGCCCAGCGGAGAATTTTTATTCCATTTATAAAGGAAAATAACTCGATAGGTGAAAGTAACACAACCCAAATCCAAACTTGATCTGTGTTTGGTGATAATAAGAATTGAGTTTCATAACATTTGATTTGAGGGAAAGTAAAGTTAAGAGTGCGTAAACCAATTTACAGAAGTTCGCAGGGGCGTTTCTAGGATATTTGATAGAGGGGGCGTAGAATGAAATCTTTTTTACCTTTTTTTGACATAAAAACATTAAATAATTGTGAAATGCACTAATGTAACGGTTCCTGACTTGGAGCATGTATATTTTATAGTTAAAGTGTCAGGGTTTGACATTTTTTATGCCGAATTCTCTCCATTAACAGCAGTAGACCAATAAAGAGAAATTCCAAATTCTAGGGTATAAGGCGTTACTTAACATTTCAATAGTCCTAGGCTAGGATTTTATGAACGGGAGGTGGAATTACGGTTGCCCTGGTAGAGGGTCTATGGGGAAGCTCAGAAGCTCCTGGATTTCAACAATTTAGCATCAAATTATGAAGTAGCCAGACTGATAAATATCTCTCTATTTTAGATTAAGTTCTGGTTTCGTTGAACGACACACATGATACAAGACAATCAATCACTGAAGTATAAAGCTCTTTCGTTCTAAATATTGTAGGCTTTAATGTGGAATACATGATTGAATATGAAAAATTGACGTCATTGTACTACAGTACTAAATTAAAGCAATCATGTCACTGTCTAGTTCCGATAGGTTGTATATGGTACATAAATAAATATGGTCCTTGAACTTCATGGCAAAATGTAGGTCAATGTCACTTAGTTGCTCACTAATGGATATTGAAACAATATGATACTACCCAAGGCTATCCAGATGGGAAGTAAAAATGCTATACCAAATATAGATGTTACTAGTATAAATGTACCTTAACGCAAAACCTAAAATGAACATAGAAATACTGATGGACTCTCATTTTCAATGAATGGTTAGACTAGAGTGGATTCATTAGAACCATTTCAGAGTATGTGTTTAATTAATGAATATGATAAATTGCCATATTCAATACAATATTAGCAGATTACGATAGTTTTTTTTTTTTTTTTTTTTTTTTTTTTTTTTTGAAAAGGGGGGGCATACGCCCATTACGCCCTCACCTGGACCCGCCCCTGGTTTGTATGGGAAGAACAGGGTAAATGTAATGCTCCCTTCGCCTAGCGGTAGAGGTAACAATGACTTTTTATTTAGTAATTTTTGTAACAGTTTTCAAGTTTTTTTGGGGACCAAAATGTGATAAATTTCTTATAAAGAAGAAGATAATAATAGGATAAACAGAGTAATTCCTTTTTTTGATTTTGCATAAATTTTTTTCTAATATAAAATAAGGAGATGTGGTATGATTACCAATGAGACAACTTCCTTCACTGACAACTAGCTATTAATTTGGACTTGATCTAAAAGTATATATAATATTCATGTTTAATCCAGAAAAAGTATATGATTCGTCTGAGCATTTTCATATGGAAATATAAACCTGCTAATTTTTTGTTAAATACAAAGTTCAGATGTGTCAAAAATCATTAAGTCTACTAAATAATAGCACATTTACCTAATATGGTTATGAATACAATAAGGAGTAAAGTCACATGACTGGTAAAGATGGCTACTGCTACTAAACATATCACCATGGAGAAGACCAAACTATAGATGGCACTGTTAACTGCAACAACTTCCATCATTACCTAAAATTAAATATTCAAATTAGAAATTTGATGCTCCCTTGTAATAAAAATGAAATTTTCAAAATTAAGATGAAAGATACAAGGCTGGTATTATGTATTATTTTCTGTATATGTTATCTTCAGCATTTTTTGACAGATGCAATTTTATGGATGTGAAACAGGGTTCTTGGTAGGAAAATGTTTGAATTACTTTTCTGTAACTTCAAAAAAACAAACTGGATGAGTAAAAGAGGAAATCAGAAACTAATCTGAAAACTATAAATTATTCCGGAAATCCCAGAAACTAATACAGAAACCAGAAACTAATCCAAAAACCAGAAACTTATATTGAAACCAGAAACTAATCCGAAAACCAGAAACTGATCGAGGAAAAATAAACAGAAACCAATCTAGAAACTAAAACCTAATCCTGGAACCAGAATCTAATCTGGAAACCAGAAGCTGATTCAGAAATAAGAAGTTTATATGGAAACTAGAAACTAAAATGGAAACCAGAAACTAATACAAGAACCAGAAATTAATTGGAAAACAGAAACTAATCTAGAGAAAACTTTTCAAGGACAGTCCTGTACAATAGAAATTTGTGTTTTAATCTGTCTACAAAATGATGACTTTGTCCACTATCATTTTACAAATGTAAGTAGAAAAGAGGAAAGTCTTTAGCAATGTTGCCATTTATGTTTAAACAGAATTAACTCTAATTTAAACAAAATTTCAAACAAACTTACATGTACCATATTAAACAAACTTTAATCATCTGATGACAGTATTAACAATGATATAAAAGAGCCAGGAGATAGGATGTTTTTCATTACAATATTTGCTTTGTTTATAAGTTATCTTGTTGTATTTAGGAAATTATCTAACAATATTTGAATTGTGGATTCATTTAAATCCGTGGGTACCAATTTTTGTAGATTGAGGATAAATGGTATTATCATGGAAAGGAGTAGGCCCAGGAAGACCCATTTTTGGCCCCAAAATATAACATTTCAAAAATTTGTTAAAAATGTAAACTTTTAGCTATTTATTGGAAAGTTGAATACTTTTGTTACATAAATATGGGCTGTTTTTTGACAATACAATGCACAATCAGGTATTAGCATCTTTAATTCATGCAAAATGACTGAAATCTTCACAATTTTAGCATTTTTGCTTATTTTTAGACAGTTTTAGTCTAAAATGGAAGTGGCAGCACTTGTATTAAGTCTTAATATTTAAATAAATGTTGTATTTGATGATGATACATAACATATATAAGGGTTGAGACTGAGCATGAAATGTGGCCACTTCCATTTTTGACAAAAAACATCTGAAAAGTGACGTTTTGTGGCATATTTGATAGATTTTTCTTATTTAAGCTTGAATTTAGGTGTCTTTAATGACCAAATCAGTTCAATTCTTTTACATACCCTACCCTAATTGAATCGACTGAAGAAGACACTTAAGTGTTTAAAAAATGTCAAAAATATTTCATCAGATGTACATCAAATTTGAGGCCAAAATAAGCCCTTACCAGACCCTCTCCTTTGATTTTGTGGGTATGCCAAAGTCTGCATACAAGCCTATAGAAAACTTGTACTTCGTTGAAAATTTAATTTAGTTGTTAACCTATACTCACAAAATCCAAGAAAAATTTGTATCCCACAAATAATAACGAATCCACAGTATACGTTATCTTAAGGATGTTCACTACTCTGTTTCCAAATAACAAGCTTTTTAAAAAAAAAACTATTATAAATTGATAGTATATAAATAAAGGAACTGAAAAAGCAGAAAAATATGTAGGGTCCATGTGCTTGTTTTAGAGATATAAGCCATTGAAAATTTGGTGGGAAATAATTCTCTCTAGACTTTTCTTACATTTAACATTGACACCCTTTTTCTTTCAAAAATTATGAAAAAATAACAAGGATTTTATAGGATTTTCAAATATGGCTTTTTAAACTATTAGTAATAAAATTATAAAAAGAAAAGTAGGGGTTAGCTGGGAAAATTTTTTCATGATACTACATGGATAAAACCAGAGGATTCCGAATATCTGGCAAAAATTCAAAAACAAGAGGAGCAAACATCCTTAATACTATACATCACAACCAAAAAGCATTCACCTCTTTATCAATATCTTTATGAATGGTCAATTCTATTTAGATCTTTATACAAAAATTCACATATGCTGAAACCAATAAGTGTAGCTGAACTCGAGACATATAGAATCCTAATTTTAACAACTGACAAAGTTTTTAAAAAATTTTGTGAAAATCGAAATAGAATTGAATGAAATGCTCCGCATGGCGCAGCTTGATACAACCGCAGAGGTCGAACCCTGAACAGTTTGGGCAAGTATGGACACAACATTCGGGCTTGATACAGCTTTGCATTTGGATTGTGATTAAATATTTGACACAGCATAGGTTTCTGACACAGAATGAATGTGGTCTAAGAACTTAAAAATTTTAAATTGGACTTTCACCTATTATGGTCCAATATCCAAAATCTAAAAACATGGTTAGATTCAGCATATCAAAGAACCCCAAGAATTCAATTTTTGATGAAATCAAACAAAGTTTAATTTTGGACCCTTTTGACCTCAATGTGGACAAAGTTGACAATGGGGCCCAAAAATCAAAAATCTAAATACATGGTTAGATTCAGCATATCAAAGAACCCCATATATTCAATTTTTGTTAAAATCAAACTAAGTTTAATTTTGGACCCTTTGGACCTTAATGTAGACCAATTTGAAAACGGAACCAAAAATTAAGAATCTAAATACACGGTTAGATTCGGCATATCAAAGAACCCCAATAATTCAATTTTTGATGAAATCAAACAAAGTTTAATTTTGGACCCTTTGGACCTCAATGTGGACCAATTGAAAAACGGGGCCCAAAATCCAAAAACTGAATACACGGTATGATTCAGCATATTAAAAAACCCCAAGAATTCAAGAATAAAACCCCATTGAAATTGGTCAAGAAATAAGCAATTTATACGAAGTATCTTCTCTTGCACAATACTGTGCAATTAAATATTTCTTGCTATTGCGCAATACTGTACAATTGACAATTTCTTGCTATTGCGCAATATTGTGCTATTGGATATTTCTTGCTATTGCGCAATACTGTGCAATTGAAGATTTCTTGCTATTGCGCAATACTGTGCAATTGAAGATTTCTTGCTATTGTGCAATACTGTGCAATTGAAAATTTCTTGCTATTGCACAATACTTATCATATAATTATTTACACATCCTGTTTGGTGTGTATCTCCTACCATATCATTATTATTTGCTTTTAAATATAAATCAGAAATAACCAACTTAAAATGGAAAATTTTAAAAGAAAAAAAAAAGGAAAAAAAAAAAAATCCCCCCCCAAAATTTTTTGAACCCCCTTATGATTCATCACCCCCAAACTCAATCCCAGCCTTCCCTTTGTGGTATGGTACCTTGCAGTACAATTTCAGAGAGATCCATACACTTGAACACAAGTTATTGTCTGGAAACTAGAAAAATGTGTTTTTTTGCCCCTTTTTGGCCCCAAATTCCTTAACGTTTAGGGCAATTACCCCCAAACTCAAACCCAGCTTTCCCTTTGTGATATGGAACCTTGTAGTACAATTTCAGAAAGATCCATACACTTACACACAAGTTATTGTCATGAAACTAGAAAAATGCTTGTTTTTTGCCCCTTTTTTGGCCCCTAATTCCTAAAATTTTGAGGCAATTACCCCCAAAATCAATCCCAGCATTCCTTTTGTGATATGGAACCTTGTGGTACAATGTCAGAGAGATCCATACACTAACACACAAGTTATGTTTGGAAGTTACAAAAATGCTTATTTTTGGCCCCTTTTTGGCCCCTAATTCCTTTACTGTTGGTACCATAACCCCCAAAATCAATCCCATCCTTCCTGTTGTGGTACTGAACCTTGTGGTAAAATTTCATAGAGATCCATTCACTTAAACTAAAGTTAGAGTGTGAAAACCAATGTGTCTTCGGACGACGACGACGACGAAGACGACGACAACGACGACGACGACGCCAACGTCATACCAATATACGACCACAAAAATTTTTTTGCGGCCATATAAAAATTGATAGATTTAGAATTATTTAGAAACTACCCGGTAAGTTCCAACTCCCTCAGTCAAATCTTACTTTAGTTGAACTTAAATTTGGCTGTTTTTTTAGGGGCTTATTTTGGTCATAAAGATCTTTCAAGTACTGATACATCCTTTACTTTCAAATTTTCTCGTTTGAGTGTAAATGAATGTAAATTGAGAAAAGCACTACAGATGCACCAAATTTATAAAATGTGTATGTTATTTTCATTTGCAAGAAATTGATTAACATATAAGTAACAAACCTGTGGCCAGAACTGTGATGTCTGGAAAACATTCTGCACAAACTGAGAACTCTTATAGTCATTTTTTATTTTCTTCATCAGTTCCTCCCATTTCAAGTATTCTTTGTAGGCTTCAAAGTAAGATTGATCTTTTGAAGTTGTCTGAAAAGTATAATATTATCTTTAGTGTCTTCCAAATACCTGTCTTAGAATTTTAACAGTGAAAATATATTTCTTACACAATCATTTGATATACTAAGAACCCTGGGATGTGTTTTAATTGATTTTAGTCTCTGATGCATGATTTTTTATTATTTATTGTTTTTGGCTTTTAACTAGCCTTCAGTAACTGCGAGTACTCTAAAATCATACTTTCATGTTAATTTGACCTGTTGACACAATTTGTAATGCATTTCTGTAATTCAATGTTTACTTATTTTGTGTTATATCTCGTTTCACTATTTTTAATATCTACCACCTTTGATAAGTATTTAGTATGACGATAAATTTTCACTTCTGTACTCTTACTGTGAACAACAAATTTATTAATTTTGTAAAAAATATTTGCTTCCGTTCTCCTAACAACAAAATTATTATATTTAAATTTACCTGTGTACGTTGTTTTATTTAACGCCGTTTTGTCCCAGGTTAGAGTTGTCTTTTTGACACTGTTCCTACATCTTTTTTATTAATATTGTATTTATAATAACAATAGATGTGTCATAGATCAAACTTATTTGTTCAGTGTATGTTTACTTGTTTTTGATTAAATGTTGATCGAGTTATAAAGCCATTTCAATTGATATTTTATAGTGTGTCTTTTTATGTTGTAATGTTACACTACTGTCTCAGGTTAGGGTGAAGATTGGCGCCTGTTAAAACGTTTAAACCTGCTGCATTTTTATGCACCTGTCCTAAGTCAGGAGCCTGTTGTTCAGTGGTTGTCGTTTGTTGGTGTTGCTCATAAGTGTTTCTCGTTTCTCATTTTTTATATAGATTAGACCGTTGGTTTCCTGTTTGAATTGTTTTACACTAGTCATTTTGGGGCCCTTTATAGCTTGCTGTTCGGTGTGAGCCAAGGCTCCGTGTTGAAGGCCGTACTTTGACCTATAATTGTTAACTTTTTATACATCTTCTTTAATATTTATAAGAAAGTTACTTTCTTTTTACATATTTGTAGTACTTTATGTGCCTGTCCCAAGCCATGAGCATTTAATCAGAGGGTTGTTATTGCTTATCTGCTGTTTTTGCATACATTTTTGAATAAATCAGGCCATTGGTTTTCTCTTTTGAATTGTTTCATATTTTGTCAACCCATGGCCTTTATAGCTTACTATAAAGTAGGGCTTTTGCTAATTGCTTAATTAAGGTCATACAGAGACCTATAGTGTGTTTTCAACAGAATCAAGGTTTGAAGTAATGTCTCCATATTGTTTTTCTCTTTTGCCATTGAAAATTATTTTCATTACTGATCATACTCTTCTTCTTCCAAGAACAGGATTCTAATTTGAATGTACTTGTTTCAATGCAAACATTTTGTGCAGTGCCAAGCAACACAGAAAGATCTCTCTTGGCTATTATTTACATTTCAAACATTAGTAATAATATTTACTTACAGATTCAAAAGCAAATGCCCACCACAGTAAGGAATTGTTCTGAAATCCTCCCACAACATGTGCTTGTGCTTGTCTACCATAAACTGTAACAGGCTTGGGTAAATCATGGCATGCTGGGATACGATTAAGCACATATTGCACTGAAAAAAAATCTTTTTTTTTTAGGTTTTTCTATCTTTTAAGTTTGTGAAATAAACAAAATCTGAATAGTTAATATATAAAATTTGTCTGTATTTTAATTCCAACAATAACAAACAGACGTTGCGCACGATGTTGGTACCAATTCCATTTTGCTATAGATTAGCATGAAAATAAATATGTAGACTGGTTAGTTCGATAAAAATATAGTGATTTCTGGTTGAATTTATTACATTAGACTTGAAAATATAGAAAAAAAAGGAACCGAAATTTAAAATATCAAGAATTATAACACTTAATTATCCCATTTTTACCCCAAAACGTAATGTCCAACGTTACATTTTGTGTGCAAAAGATCGGAGTTCCGTTTCTTTCCTACGGTATTTTTTTCTGATAATCGTAAAACTTCACAAGAGTATTGCTATTGTTATTGTTATTCACTTGTTAAAGCAAAATCAATATCACTGAGAGCGTAAACCGGAAAATGTTATTTTTGAAACTGGTCTGAAAAATGTTCAAGCATATGCAAGGTAAGCATATATCGGGTTTGCGCATTTATACCGTGAAATTGGAAAAGCTGAGAGGGAAAATATTTATGATATTTTGAAAGTTTTTTACTTTTCTCCTGGTTCATGATATTTTTTTGCCGGAAACCATGCGTATAGTTTCTATTGCAATGACTTCAAAAAGTATAGCCATCTTGTCCCAACAAAAAAATCGATGTATTTTCTTTACAATTGAGGTTTTAACCGGCTGTATATTAAATAAGTATAGTTGGATCATAGAAAATAAAACTAGGCGGTAAAAGTTTTTTTCTTTTTCTTTTTAAACAATATAGTGTCTAACATTTTTTCGATTGGCAACAAGATTTTTAGATCGTTTCAAAAAGTATAGCCGTTTTGTCCCAACGTTCGCTAAAAGTAATTGATGTCATGTTCTGGTTTTTAATTTTATATCATAATTATTTGTTTCCAGTTTAATTCGAATGAAAATAAAAATATAAGTTATAATAAAACCAATGTATGAAAAAGGAAAAGTTTAAGTTTTACATCAAATGTTGACCAAATGAGATTGATATAAAAAATATCGGGATCTTAGTTTTTTTTCAGCACATTCATGACATTTGTTTTATTTAAGGAACGTTGTCTATCTGCAAGTTTTAAATCATCAAAAGCAACATGCATATTTTTTTTGTTAATAAAATAAAATAGAGAAAAACTATTGCTGGCAATTATAACAAAATAAAGGATATGCATATGCCACAAAAATACGGAAATGAGAAAAACATGAATCTAAAATGTTTCACTACCTAGAAATTTTGCGACAAAGAAAGCATCGGGAAATGATAAAATATAGAAAGGAAACAGAAACGGAAAGAAATGCAACAAAAGGAGTATGTATAAACATGCAATAAAAAGGGAAAATAGATGCAAAATCTAATTTATATTAAAAACAAATCTGTATAAATTTGGAAATTAATGTATGATTCATTAATGCGAACTGCTGCCAAAACTAAAATTATCAATTATGGCCTGGAAAGACTGACAACTATAAATGAATATTCATTAACAAAAATATGTGTACGACCACTTTGAGTTTTATTTGTTAAACTATGCATTTTCAGAAATCGGTTACCAAATTCACAACAGTAAATTGACCTCATCAATTATAAGCTTAAACGCTTGAAACGTTCTTTGAAATCGTCGAAATCGCTTCATTATGAGGAACGTCGTGTAACGCTAAGTAGTACCAACATCGTGCGTAACGTCACAAGAAGTCTTTTTATTATTATTTTAAAAATGTTATTTTTGCACAGAATGCTTTTCCTATACGATTTATGACAACAGATTTTATAGTATGTTTATATATTGTGCTCTTACACAACTGTGATTAGTGGAGGGTAAAAGTGACGCCACCCAAATTCGAACTTGATCTGTGTTTTGTGGTAATAAGCATTGGGTATAAGTTCATGATTTGGTTGAGGCAAACTAAAAGAAAACGGAAACTAATTTAGGAACATACTTACATATGGAGGTATGTACGTATGTATAGACGGACAAGGCGAACACTTTATGTCCCCTCCGCCAGGGTGGGGCATAAAAATTGTAGTAAAATAGTTATTTAGACAAATACTAACTTGCCATATAATCTGGGAAGCACTGAGCACTACCATTTCTTACTAGATCTGGCCTAGATGACACTTGTTTACAAATTTTACAAAGCGTTGAGATCCCCTTCTGGTAACTACTTGAAAAGTTGAAATTCTTCTTAAAATTCGGATCAAATATAACCTTTCCCTGAAAATAAAAACAACATACATTTTTGTTACCATATATTAAATCTAAGATATCAAATACCAAGAAGTTAGAAAAATATCCTCAATATTCATATCTTTAATGCCTAATTATTCAATTACCCGTAAAGTAAAGAAGATACATTTTTTCAATTTCTGCATCAATATCATCAACATGAGATTACTGTAAAACAATTATCAACAGAATATAAGAATGTGTCCATAGTACACTGATGCCCCACTCGCACTATCATTTTCTATGTTCAGTGGACCGTGAAATTGGGGTCAAAACTCTAATTTGGCATTGAAATTAGAAAGATCATATCATAGGGAGCATGTGTACTAAGTTTCAAGTTGATTGGACTTCAACTTATTCAAAAACTACCTTGACTAAAAACTTAAGCCTGAAGCAGGACAGATGGACAGACGGACAGACAGACGGACGAACAGACCTAAAAACATAATGCCCCTAGGTGGGGCATAAAAATGTGTAACTTAGTGGTTGCCGTTTGTTGCTGTATATCATATTTGTTTTTTTGGTAATGGTTTTGTACATAAATCAGGCCATTAGTTTGCTTGTTTGAATTATGTTACATTTTTCATTTCGTGGCCTATTATAGCTTGGTATTGGGTATAGGTTTTGCTCATTGTTAAAAGCCGTACAGTGACCTATAGTTGCTAACCTTCTACTTTATTAAGTCTCTGGTGGATGGTTGTCTCATTGGCATTCATACCACATGTTCTTATTTTTATATCAAATTTCTGCAACTTTTTAGTGTAGAACAATAACGCAAATATACGTGTAAACATCATGAATAAGTAAAACAAGGATATTATCTCATATTGAATATATTGAAAACATAAACAAAGTCAGAAATCACAAAAATAAATCATGACTAAGTCTGCTAGACCAGACTAAGTGTGAAAAAAAGTATCATCTAAAATAATCTACGGCTCTTTTCACAAAAAATCTTAAGAGTTAAAATACTCGAAAGTCATACACATTTCAGTATAACTTATGATCAATTTTAATCGTAAGATTTGTGAAAAGATTTACTGGTCTACAGTATTTTTTTTTGAAAAGTACACAAAACTCGGAATGCAACATATGTATTTTCTATCTCTTAGAACAAATCAACATGATGAAAAATTACCTCACATGATAAATCTTCTTAGTGATTGACCACTGAAAAGAAAATTAACAGAAGGATACCTTATCTTTCTGCATGACATGACCAGGTTCTATACCACTTTGGTCCAAGCCAGATATACCAAACACTACATAAACTGTGGCTCCAGTCTCTAACATGGGTCGGTCTTTTGTCTTGGTACAATCAGCTTTCTTACACATGTCAAAATTCTCTGGTACTGACTTAGGTGTAGCAACTGAAGTTTTAGGTGTAGGATGTTTTGTTGCTGGAAATATCAGTGGTGTAGATGAACCTGAAAATACAAAAATACAGTGTAACTTTTAGTTATGGTGATATTGGTGTTGGATATATTATTGTGAATCAGGAGCAATTGAGAAATGGTGTTGCATTATGGGAATGACACTGTTTTGACATTCTGATTGGTCCTAATGTCATTTTCGAGGACGCTAAGACTGGTCTTCTATATATGTTGATCTTAGATGGATTAAGCTAATTTTTTATGTCCTTTTAGTCATATTGCTCTTGGACTGTTTTGGTTCTTATACATCCTGTGCTTTCAAATATTCTGCTTTGAGTGTTCCTGATGAAGGTAAATCCAGAAAAGCGCATCGGATGCCTGAAATTTATAAAGTGTTGTTTTCGTTTTTTATATAATAATTTGTTGTCAGATTGTTTGTAACTTGTAGTAGTCATGCATATATTATTTTGTTTTGATTTGTTTAAATGGTGTTTATAATAAACTCACACTTTGTTCTAAAAGATAAGTTTACAATAACAATAGTTGTTTAATTAATTAGTGTCTCTTTTTAGTTATTGGTTATGTCCTATTTATTTGTAAAGTAAGAATAGTAACTAAGAAACAAATAAAATTTCACGTTTAAAAACATGTTTTTTTTTTCAAATTAGCAAAGTTTCATACTTTTATGAGGGTTTGGATGGGTTTTCAGAATAGAGAATAATGGGCAAAAAAAATAAAGAATAGAGAAAAAATAGGACAAAAAAATAAAGAATAGAGATTAATGAACAAAAATTATAAGGAATAAAGAAAATGGCTTAAAAAATGAAAGAATACAGAATTGAGGGACCCCATCCAGACCCTCTTTTATGATACATGTGATAGGCCTTTTTGGAATTCCCTGTTTTTTCTCTTTTGCTTTTGCTTTTTCTTTATATTGTTATTTTCAATAACATTCTAATATGGATGGTTTTGTTAACTCCTTATTGTTTTATCCCTGTGAATAATTTAAATCTAACTATACCATTAACAGTTAAACTAGCTGATGCCCTTATTACTCCTCTCTCATTAGATGCCATGCATGTGTACATCCCTTGGTCTGTCTTTTGTACACCATCCAACTTTAATATTCCTTCCTCGTATAATAATCGGTGCCTTTGTTTCACTTCTCCCCTCATTACGCTATGACCATCTTTTTGCCAGCTCAGAAAAGGGGCTGGATACCCTTTTACAGAACAATAAAAGTACATATTTCGACCAGCTAAGACTGTCTGATTGCTTGGTCTCATGTCAAATTCTGGAGGTTCTGAAATAAAAAACCATAAAAAATTTGCCTTCAGAAAGATTATGGGATAACAGTATTTGAACAATTAAAACTTGTTATTAGGGTATTTCATGTCTACCCCATCTATACAATTTGACAAACTGTTAAGAAGGATACATAAAAGTTTTTTTCTGTACAATCTAATATCAATTGTTTTGTTTCTTTTGCATCATTGGCTTTCAAATATTAGGCTTTTAGCATTCCTGATGAAGGAAATCCAGAAAAGCACTTGGGATGCATGAAATTTATAAAGCGTTTTAAATTTTTTTAAGAATCATATATTTATTTTTTTTGTGTAAAATAGCTTGCAGGTCTGTGAAGTGCACCATATCCCATAAATCATATAAGTCTAAATTAAATATTTGTGGCCCACGCACTGTACCATATCCCATAAAAAATAAGTCTTTTCTAAATAAAATATTTGTGACCCTAGTATTGTTCTATATTTCATAAATTAAGCCTATGCTAAACAAAATATTTGTGACCCTGATATTGTGCTATATTCCATAAATTAAGCCTATGCTAAACTTAATATTTGTGACCCTGATAGTGCTATATCTCATAAATTAAGCTTATACTAAACTAAATATTTGAGGCCCTGAAACTGTACTATATGATATCCCATAAATTAAGTCTGCTAAGCTTAATATTTGTGGCCCTGATACTGCGCTATCTCCCATAAATTCAGCCTATGCTAAACAAAATATTTGTGGCCCTGATACTGTACCATATCCCATATCTTATAAGACAAGACTTACTATTAGACATTGGTCTGGGTGTTGTAGTCATAGGAACTAGATGCTGTGGTCTGGGTGTAGTCATAGGAAGCACATGCTGATGATCATTTTTTGAATTAGGTAATTGTCCATTGTTGGTGGTTGGCTGGTATTTATTGTGCTTGTGAACCTGCAATAAAATATATGTTCTCGAAATATACAAACATATATTTTTTAAAAAGCAACAATTTTATGTTAATATGTAGGAAATGGAAAGAATCTGATTTATTATAAATAAAAACAAAAAAATGTATAGGAAAATATTTTCTCTTTTTTTTTTTTTTCCATTAAAGATACAAAATCATTTAATTAATGTTTCCTAATTGGTCTTTGTAATAGAAAAGTTCTGTAGAAACTAAGGGAGATAATTGAATAATTTACTATAAAATATACAGTACTATATTATCCATGTCTAAGAACCAGGAAAAACTTGGTGGAATATTTATCAGTTTCATGATAAACACCAATTAGTACAATTTATCAATAGTAAAATAAAAAAGAATATACAATAAAAAAAATACAATTAATCTAAAATTAACAAGAATGTGTCCATAGTACACGGATGCCCCACTCGCACTATCATTTTCTATATTCAGTGGACCGTGAAATTGGGGTCAAAACTCTAATTTGACATTAAAATTAGAAAGATCATATCATATGGAACATGTGTACTAAGTTTCAAGTTGATTGGACTTCAACTTCATAAAAAAACTACCTTGACCAAAAGCTTTAACCTGAAGCGGGACAGATGGATGGACACACGTAGGTGGGGAATAAAAAAAATACATATACATATACAGTGAGTGGATTCATTTATTTTCGTAGGTACCAATTTTTGTTAAGGAAAAATTGTATTTTCGTGGATATTTGTTATAGTGGTTTTACAATAGTCTGCATACAAGCGTATAAAAATTTGTACTTTGTTGAAAATTTGCATTCTTGGTTCACCTGTACCCACAAAATCCACAAAAATTGATATCCCACGAGTAATTATGAATCCACAGTAGTGCAATTTAATACTTAAATATTGATTCTACTGTCACAAATTGAGTTTTAAATCAACATGTTTGTGGAACTAGGAAAACAATTGTCATTCAAGCAAGTACATTATTGAATTTACTCCCTCAAATAGATTGAAAATATACAATCAAAATCTTAAGATTCAAGCATGAAAAATCAAATTCATGAATATTTTTTATTTTTTTATTTATAGACATAAGCATGTGTTTCCAAAATGCTTAATTGTAATATGTACTTTATACAAATATGTTGTAATGCTAGGCATACCACTACTAATAATTCAAACTACAGAAGAAAGGAAGAATGTGTTTGAAAGAACAAAAAAGCACTCAAAGGTTACAACTCATCACTGCTAAGCTACTGACCAAAAATATAGTTATTCTATTCAGAAGCACCTGAGAAAAGGTGTGACGGAAATATTTGTTGGTAGACAGACAGATTATTAGGGCTATTCCATTAAAATGTATGTGGGAGGGTAGGAAGGGACTTTCAAAATATCCCTACAACCAAGAACCATTTTTTAGATAATTTTGCATAATGGTAATAGACACATACTGAAAAAAGACCCATGACCCACATTCAATAATCAAACTTCCCTTCCTATCCTCCCACATACATTTTAATGGAATAGCCCTTAGCATGGGATATAATAATGTCATGAAATCTTGTAATAAAACTTACATCATTGATAGCAGAGCACTGAGAACAAGATATCTCGTCTATAACACCCATACTGGATTTCAGATCCAATAACATTTGAAGGTTCGTATCTTCACGGAATATCTGTGGTGGTTTAGTTGATGGATGGAGACGAGTGATTAAAACTATGGATGCTATCATGATTAGTACAGAGAATCCTGCAAAAGTTATAAACGAAAAACTCTGTTTATTTATTGCAAATACTTGATGTAGATAATACAATGGGGTTACTTAAAGAAAAGTGTATAATGTAAACCAATTTCTTTTCAGGAATACTAAACTTCACGTTTAGCCCCTTCTAGCCGACTTTGCAGCAATTTATTTCTGTGATATTAAGAAAATATCAAAGATATACATAATCACAACGATTTACATTCACATTATTTTTCTCTTTGTGAAAATGAATTGCTAGTGAAAATTAGTTTACAGTATGGCTTCATTGTACCATCTGTTTGAAAACTATAAATCTTCAAAAATTATAACATGGTGCAGCTGATTTTATATTCCATTTTTTTCGTATAGTTATATGAACTCTGTAAGGAAATTAAATATGTATATCAATAGCCATAGTAAAAAGTTATTAAAGATACTAGACTTATGATTTTAATCCGTTTTAGTCACATCAGCCTACACATACATGCCCATTTCCTGTATTGTGGTTTGCTTTTCGCAGATGTGTAATTTCACAATTTTAAAGTCCAAACATACTAACAAGGTTTTATATTCTCTTTTCTTATTCCTTACTCTTATCTTACATAAAGTTAAAATTTACACCATCTAATATTTTCTAATCTTATTTATTCACCAAATTAGCGAAATATTTTTTGGCTTTACGTTACTTACCTATGAAAACTCTTCTGAACCTAATCACAGGCAGTGCCACATATTGATACAGAGCTATCTGTAGTAACTGTATTAATGAAGATTCTTTAACCTGGTTTGCACTGTTTGGTGGTGCCCCCTGGTGATGAGGAGTATTGTCCGGTATCAAAAGGACCTCATCATCTTCATCAGCTCCATAGCGTTCTGGAAATACAAAGTGATCTTATTTTTATATATGATCAATTTTCAAAAAAATATAAGCTTTAAAACAATTTGAATTTATAAGGGTCTGGATGGGGTTTACAGAATAGAGAATAATTAACCAAAAATACAGTAAAATGAGGGGCGTAAAGGGGGGGGTATCTGCATGGAAGAACGCGAAATAAAATTGCCATTTCAAGATGAACGAACATTTAAAAATTTCTTGCACATTGATCTTTTTACCGATTTCACGAAACACAGTGAATAACGAACCTTTTTCACGGCTGCACGTGAAATAAAAATGGCAAAACATGTTGCACGAAAATAACCCTTTATTTAATTACCACCCTCTAAAATGGAACCCAAAAAATAAAGAATTGAGAATAATGATGTTAAAATATAAAGAATAGAGAATAATGGGCAAAAAATAATAAAAAAATAGAGAAAAATTACTTAAAAAAATTAGTAATACCCAATTAAAGGACCCCCCCCCCCCCCCCCATCCAGACCCTTTTTTATTCTATCTCATCATCTACTGTTATAATAAAAAAAATCTTCAGATCGTCCTTTTTTGATTGTTTAATAGCTTTAAAATATTGTATTTGAAGAAAACAGTTAACTAAGATGCATTACCAATATAATATTCCATCGGATCATCTAATGTAAGTAGCTGTACATCATCGTCTTCATCATCTTCTGCTGTTGGGAGGTTTCGTCCTACTTGTAATTCCCCTCCAGATGTTTTACCACCAACGAAGTCCACAATGTCATTTGGCAAGTTTCTAACTTTGAACTTACATTTTGTACAAATTCTAAAAAGTAAAATATTCATACTTTAAATATATAACATATTATATGTTAACTTTAAGTAGAATCCTTCTTATGATTTCAACAGTATCTAGTTTTCTAAATAGCCTCATTTATTACAATCCTGATATTATACACTGTGGATTCTTTTTTTACTTTGTGGGATACAAATTTTCGTGGATTTCATTGGTATATGGTCCGAGTACACAGTTATCGTCCTTTGATTTTCGTTGTCCACGATTAAAGTCCCTAGTGTGGACAGTGTGTTGCTTGCCAATTTTTTTAGTACCCCTTCCAAATGTATTCCTTCATGTTTTATGCCTCAAATAGCAAGTAGGGGGATGAAATTACACTGTAAAAAAATTTGGGTCATGAATTGTAAAGTAAAGTAGTGATTTGGTCCAGCTGAAAAAGGTTAAAAATTAGCACTTCGGAAGCTGTCAAAAGATTTCAAGACCCCCTTAACATAGAATTGTCCATATTTTGAGTTAGAGCCGATGAAGTTTTCTATAATTTTGATATAATTTCTCCCAAAAGTAGTACAACACACTGTAAAAATATTATTGAGAAAGCGCAGGTGGGATTTTTTTTATTTTCATTTATTGTCTAAAAGAAATGCACTACGAAATAACTGTGTACTCGGACCATATGTAAACCGCAAATTTAAATATTTAATGAAGTACAAATTTTCTATAAGCTTATATGCAGACAACAAAAATCCATGAGATTAAATATCCAAAATTATTTCTCAATCCATGAGATTAAATATCCACAATTATTTCTCAATCCATGAGATTAAATATCCACAATTATTTCTCAATCCATGAGAATAAATATCCACAATCATTTCTCAATCCATGAGATTATATATCCACAATTATTTTTCAATCCATGAGATTAAATATCCACAATTATTTCTCAATCAATGAAAATAAATGAAATCACAGTATAATATGTCATTGCAAGAAAATATGAACCAAAATCTGTATGGATTTGTGTTTTAATCAAAATATCAAATGTCAAGAAACAAAAAATAAATTTACTTTCAATAGATATAAGATGTGGTATGAGTGCCAATGAGACAACTCTCCATCCAAGTCACAATTTATACAAATAAACCATTATAGGTCACAGTACGGTCTTCAACACGGAGCCTTGGCTCACACCGAACAGCAAGCTATAAAGAGCCCCAAAAGTTACTAGTGTAAAACCATTCAAACGGGAAAACCAACGGTCTAATCTATATAAAAAACGAGAAACGAGAAACACTTATGAACCACATCAACAAACGACAACTACTGAACATCAGATTTGCTTAGCTGGCATGTCAAAGGGTATGATCATATTGCTATTACATATATGATTGATTCATTCTTAGTGCTTAACGCCAATTTCAGCACTTTTGGCTATATTGTGGTGGTCTGTTTTAATTGGAGGAAGAAGCCAGAGTGACCAGAGAAAGCCAGACATTCAGCAGGAAAAGGGAAAACTGACAATCCTAGCCAATTATGATTTGAATTGAACACACCTCAGCGATTTCAAACTAGTGATACAGTAGATGAACTACTTAGACCACTTAGCTACCAAGGCACTTCTATTACAGATAAGTTGAAAACCTAAATTATATGAGTGTAAACCTGTTATCTTGCAAGTAGTCAATTCTATTTAATTTTTTATGAATTTATTTAAAACAATCCAAAATATCAAAATCAAATGAGAAAAAACTCTAAGGTAATAAGTTCTAAGTTTTGGATAAATATGAAAATATTTCGCCATAAACATGATAAACAAACCACTAAAAGATAATACATACTTAGAAAGAATGTGTTCTTCCCATCTTTGTATTCCAACACCCCAAATATATAATGCTGGAGGCATAACTACCAGAACTGTTACCCAGCAACAGGAAACAATTAGGGACATGAACAATCCAAACTGGTGCACTGCTGGAATCTGAAAAATATGATGTTAACAAACTATCATGAAATGTGTTAGATTCAACATGTTCAATGCATCTCAAACTTGTTGCCTGCTGGCTCCTTAAAAAAAACAGAAGTCTGAGAAAATCATTTTCTTTGATTAATACATATTTCTAAAACTACAAATTCAGCTTAGACTAGCAACATGTTTTCATGGTCTTAGATCCTTAGATGCCAGTATAGTCGTCTGATTTGTAATTTTACCGATTTCAACATTTTGACTAACAGCGAATTCACATGACGGGTGATACATGCATAGCACAAGACCCTTACCCTGTTGACACACCAAATCTCCCTCCTTATGGAGTTCATAATATTCTCTCAGTTTTTGTTTGTTACTTTAATTTGTCTCTTCCTAATTGATTTACAAGATTTGAACATCAAAAACTACTGCTGCTTTTATCTAGGCAAGTTTAACCGTAATATCAAAAACTTACAGAAGATGCAGTGTTTGCAGCAAAAGCCGCAGCTGTTGTAAATGACGTGAAGAAGGTAGCTTTCCCTGCTGTTACTAGTGTATGTTTTATCCTGGCTTCTGGTGTCTTCATGTTTGTAGCCTGACGATATATGTTGATAAATACAAACACATCATCCACACCTAGAAAGGAAAGTTTAATTATCAAATAGATTCTACTAAACCATGAGAAATCCCATAACGTTTTAAAACCACAAAAATTAGACACTAAATACATGCATATAAAAAATAAAATTAAAATTCTCGAAACAAGACAAAATTATACTTGAGGTAATACTGTGGATTCAAATATTTTTGTCAATACCAATTTTTCGGGGATTCAGGAGAAGTTGTTTTTTTCATGGATATTTAAATTTGTGGTTTTGCCAAAGTCTGAATACAAGCCAATAGAAAATTTCTACTTTATTAATCATATAATTTGTGATCTACCTATATCCACGAAACCCACAATAATTGAATCCACAGTAGTTGGCTATTCTGCATATTTATTCTATTAGACCTTGTCAGTTAAGATTGGAGTCAAATACTCCTCGCCAAAAGGAAGGAAAAAAATCATAACCTCCGATTTGACAGGCTAGTAACCACTGTGTAATAAACTATTTAGACCACCTCATGGTCCCCAGATGCCCCTCAACAGTTAAAGTATCTTATAAAAGTTGGATATATAATTTGCACCTTGTCAAGGACTTTAATACAGAGAAATTGATACACATAATTGAAAACAAATAACTCCTTTTTATATATTTTGCCTACCATAAAACATTATAGATATATATTTGTCATTTTCATGTTCAAGGAAAATACTATAACATTAACGGTACAAATGTTACGCACCAGATGCTCGAGGCTAAAAAATTCGAAAATCTAAAACTTATAAAAAAAAATGGAGAGCTTATAAACTATAAAGGACAACAATTAATGTATAACCAAAAGCTTGGCAAGGAATCAGAGCTATGTATGAGGGAGATATATTCCTTATCTTAAAATAATAATATAAATAATTAAACATTTAGAATGGCAATTGAAATGTATGTACCTGGTAGTCTAATTTTTCAGTTTTGTAACACATTTTAAAATCATCTGATCAATTTCATATAGAAACAACTGAACTTTTCCAGAAGGATTATAAAATTAAAATCAAACATTTCATAAAGCCAAAACCAGTCCCCTAAGTTAGTGGTAAAAAAACTTTTTAATTGAAAATATGGATTTTTCTCTCACTAACATACAATATATACAACTTTTTTTTATAGGGAAATTAATACAAATCAGACAATCTTAATTTGACATTTCAACCAATGTTACATTGACATACTTTTGCAGCATACAGAAATGTAAATTGACACACTTTTGCTGCATATAGAAAAGTAAATTGACACCCTTTTGCAGCATACAGAAAAGTAAATTGACACACCTTTGCAGCATACAGAAAAGTAAACTGACACACTTTTGCAGAATAGTACATTGTGTTCATTTATTATTGCGATTTTTGAAGAATGAACAAAAATGCGAGATTTCTTATTGCGATTTCAGGAAAATCTGCATACAGATGAATGTATCATATATCAGAATGCGAGTTCTTATTATTGCCATAATCACTCAGTAGCATTATTCGCAATAATAAAAACATCGCAATAATTTCTGCATTTACAGTATCATAATATAGAAAGGACATTTATCACCATCAATCTTACCGATGCCAATAATCACAAAAGCAGCCACTCCATTCAGTATCCCAAAGGCAGCTACATTAAACACTGTGTGGTAGAAAAACACGGCTAACGGGAAGCAGAGGAGAATACTGGCTAATCCAAAGAACGTCAACCATAGGGAAAATGAGGTCAGGATCAGCATGAAGATAAAAATGGCTGCCAAGCTGAAGGATGCAAGCTTGACATCATTCCAAAATACACTGTTAACTTCATAGTCAAATATCTCATTTCCGCCATATAAAATCGTCACTTTTCTGAAAATAATCCAGAAGATACATTTTTATAATCAGTAATGGTATGAATTCATTTTGCATTTGAAAACAATCATAGTATTAAAAATTCAACAACAGAGCACATATAATTTGGATTAAGGATGTTTGCTCCTCTTGTTTTTGAAGTTTTGCCAGATTATCGGAATCCTCTGGTTTTATCCATGTATTGCCATTAAAAAATTTAGCCCACTAACCCCTACTTTTCTTTTCATAATTTTATTACATATAGTTTAAAAAGCCATATTTGAAAATCTTATGAAATCCTTGTTACTTTTTCACAATTTTTAAAACAAAAAAGCGACCAATGTTAAAAGTATGAAAAATCTATAGAGAATAATTTCCCGCTAAATTTTCAATGGCTTATATCTCGAAAACAAGCACACGGACCCATAATTGTTTTCTGCTTTTTTAGTTCCTTTATTTATATACTACTATTTTAGAACAGTCTTTTAAAAAGCTTGTTATTTTGAAACAGAGTAGCGAACATCCTTAAAGATCTTTTGACTGTTAGAAAACAAGAGGCTTGGAACAGTAACTATTGTAATTAAATTCTAGAACTTATGCAAAAGAAATGGCAATTAAAAATATACTTTTGGATACCGTTTTAATGGTCACAGGTCCTTTTAAATGAGACTTCAAGGTCACAAGGTCACCTGTGGAACCCCAAAGGTCACAGGTTTGATTTGACCAATTTGGAGCCACTTATTATCAATTGCATTATTTTTCTCCAATATCATGGTTATATAAAACTATTTTGTGTTCCATGATATAACTGCATATTGTGAGGTGTGTTTTATTAAGAAAGCAAAAAAGGGACATAACTCTTAAAATCACATGCACATTATTTCACATCACATGAATGCTTTAAAAGCAATGAAAATGACTATCTTAAACAAGCACGGTAATGATTAAAAGAGATACGCCCCTTAACCAAGTCTGCCTCCTCAAAATTTCCTTGAAGTTGAAAACTTTTCAGAGACAGTTAAGATTAGCACCCAAATTACATATGTTCAACAGCTGTATCTTTGTTGCTTGTATATTTACACTGGATCTTGTCATGTTTGTCAGCCATACTTAATTTACCATAAATCATGTTTTGTTTTGAGTGTATGTGCGTTTAATTTTCTTGTGATGTTTGCATCAGCTAAATAATGTGAAAATTAAACACCGCATAAATTTCCTTGCATGTTCTAATGTAATATACTACATTGATTTTTTTCACATATATTTTACCAAACAGCGAAAATTTAACTTGCCCATTTTTTGTCCTCAAATCCTGTAAAAAGGAGACACAAAAAAGCTGATATATGGTACTTTTTCATGTATATTAAGATTGTTGTCTCATGTACCTTAAATCATTTGTTATCTAATGTAAATAATATTTACCACTTTCGTATAAAAACCACTTATACAAGGTTCTACTTACTCATTAGAAGCCTTAGACAACATCTCCACATATGACAAAACAAAATCTTTGAACTTGTCCGATTGTTCATTCTTCCTTTCATACGGTGAGTTGTATCCTAAATGATTAAAGATTTTTGTTAAATTGTCTAACATTGCTTAATGGTATATACATTCAACCACAGTTTATTTTTATCTACAGCCAAAATTTTTTAATATTTTATAATTCTGATTATTCTGCATTATACATGTTATATGTACTTTTTATACAATGTGAAAGATGATGATGGATGTCTGTTTAACGTCCAGTGGCAATTTATATGCATAATCAGGACGAGAACATGTAAATTTAATATGAAAATTAACCCTGCTACTGTACTAGACCAACAGGCTGAGCTGGATGTTTAACATGCTACATGTAGTTCACATGGTATCACTCCTCAGGAAGGTCACCCTACACTGACAGATTATTTTGACTCCCAAAACAACCAATCTTTTGTCTTTAATGCTGCATATTTAGCAGAGAAGCAGCAAATACCAAATTTGAAGTCTTTGGTTTGACCTGGACAGGGTTTAAACCCATGACCTCATGCACTTGAGGTAAACACGCTTCTGCAAGACCACAGAGGCTGTAAAATTAAGAGGATGTTTTTATTTATTATGAATTCAGTTGAAAAATAGGGCACAAAAAGAATCCAGAATCTGAGATCATGCCACTTGCTCCTTCTTTTAATATCAAACAGATGCTTCCTCCAAATTTACAAACTATTTGTACAAAATACTGAATTCAATATATAAAATTTCACAAACCTTTTATAGGAGATCCGAATAAAACTTCAGTTCTCAACAGCCTACTCTTACGATGTGTTTTGTTGATATTTTGGTCGACAAAATAATAGAAATGATCTGATGTGGACATGGCAAATTTGATTGTACTTTCTATATCTGCTAACTCTGATCCTAGACCATCAAAATGTGTGTTGTTACTACCATCAATAGTTGGATAAAAATACTGCATTAGAGAATTCAGGGGCGCACAGTCATGTATTCCTTTGATTGCAGGGTCAGTGATTCGGTAGTTTTTAAAACAAAACTCTTTAAATTTTGTATGATTCATAATTCTTTGTTCTATTCCATGAATAAATTCCAATCGTTCCTTTGTAAATATATTTTTCTCATCATCTCCTTCTGCTAAGAAAACAACCTGCATTTTCCACTGTATTTTCCATTGCAGGTTATCGTAAATATCACGTTTTGTTCGTCTCAAGTTTAAAATAGCGTCACGTTTTGGTCGTTTCAAGTTTAAAATAGCACGTTCCATAGCACTATAGGAACTGGTACCCATCACATTGTTTTTGGCAGCCAGTTTAAAAGCATCATAATTAATTGAAGCTTCATGATTTGGAATTGAAAATGCATGGTAAGATTTATCTAAAACTGGACCCGGTTTTAATACAAAGACACTTAGACAGCCAAGACCTATACAGAATCCATTAAATACAACCAGTATCACAATGGCAATAACTATTTTTGAGGTTTTGGAACATTTAGAGCAGTAGTCACAGCGACATGTTTTTAAATTTGGTATTTTACAACAATTTTGTACTGTACTATCACATTCATTTTGGATTTCATGATCTTCTTGTTCGTCATTCTGTTGGAGTTGTCTCTCTTGATCAATAAATTCCTCATCAAACTGGTCGTCTAACGGCACACTGGAGTATGTTCTGTGGTTTGATGGCATTGTGTTAGTTCATAATCTGAAAAATATATTTATACATGTTAAACATACTTAATGTCTCAGGTGCTCACCCCTGTCGAAAACTCCTACAAGTGAAATAATAAACAAACAGTAAGTATGCGATACACCTATGAGGGTGTTAGACAAATTGGGTGTATCTAATTAAAGGGGCATTAGCCTGATTTAGACAAAAAAAAAATTAAAATCAGATTTTTTTGGTTTCAAACATTTATAAAAGTGGAATATTAAAATGATATTTCACTATTAGCAGTCAGTTGGTTCAATTGGTCAAGATAAGCTCAAAAACACAGCTGAAGTATTCTTGGCTTTCAAGTCAATAATTCAATCTAATCTTGAGTCCATATTCATGCTACCTTTTCTTCAACCTTAGCTGGAAATAAACTGTGTAAAATTTTGAAGGCCAGCATGCGTTTCGTCTACAAAAGACTCATTAATGATGCTCGAATCAAAAAAGTTAAAAAGGCAAAATAAAGTATGAAGTTGAAGAGCCCTGAGGACTAAAAATTTGGAAGGAAATGAGTAACCTATGTGCTAAGCATGTTCAGTTATTAAATAGAAAAGTGAAACAAGGAAGCAAACAGGAAAAATTGATTCGTTGACTGATTCAGCCCACAAAAAAAAAAATTATTCTTTTACAGATTAAGGTGGTACATAACACTACAGGGAGATAACTCTTTAAAAATCAGCTGAACGTTTTAATCACGTTCTATTGTTAAGGAAATATTAAGCTTCTCAATGATCAAAATTAGTGTTTGTCAAACTGCTTTATATCCAATGATTTTTTTTTCCGATAAAGTGTTTGGTTCAAGTTTTTGGAAATTTTTATATTTTTGTCAATGGGTCAAATTAAATATTTTGTCAAAATTTTATGAAAATTAAACAAGCCAAATTAATTTTAGTCAAGGTGTTTTGCACCACCTTAAAAGATTATGAACATGTTTTTAAATCTATATGACTTGTAATTAAACCTAGAAAAATCTTCATTATACAATTGCATGTGGTAGTTTGTCTATTTATATATATGTTTTTATCTGTGACTATCAGCAGTCTTAGGAGGTCTTCTTGGTGTGTATAGTCTAAAATACACACGAAATGGACTTTTTGTAAATTTGATATAATTTTTAGTATGGTATAATCAAATTGAGTCTAATCGGTGAACATGAACAAATTGCCCTTTAACACCAAGATATTATGGTAAATGCCAAATGATAGATTTAAATCTATTAGGAAGACTTAGTTAAAAATTTTACCTTATTTCATGGAAAATCATGATAAATGCAGGATATCAAATTACATTTAATGATATTGTGGTGTGAATAAGCATGTTTACCTGGTATCTAGTTTTTATTCATGTATTCTTTTAGATTTTAGAAAAAAATGAGCAAACAGGTGATAAATGAAATGTTTGACACCTGGTCTTACATTTAATAAAAGTTTAAGTTTTCTTTTTATAAAAGTGAGCTGGAGCAGTAAAATAAACAATAAAATCCTTCATGAAATATTTTTTGAAATCATTAGTCTACCATTACGTAATTTTGCAATATTTTGGATTTTAGATGAAATTTTGTATATGTAGCACTCATTAAACTGCATCTGAATATCAAAAAGATATCACGTGGGATTGATACTTTTAGGGATTCACATATACTTTGCCATTAATGGAAAAATATTATCTATTTAATTTCTACCTTTAAAGCTGTTTTGTAGACTAATCTGTAAAGTATCCCACGTTAACAATTTAATACTGTAAATTCAGAAATTATTGCATACATTTATTATTGCGATTTTGTTATTTTAGACTAAAATGCGATTTTAATTTTTGCGATATTGAGAAAAATCCTGTTTAATTCATATAAAAAATTTCGAAATGTGAGTTTAAATTATCGCAATTATAACCCTGTCCCATTTTTCCCAATAATAAAAACGTCGCAATAATTTCTGAATTATCAGTAGCTAAAATTACATGTACATAGTAGGTACACATGCACTTAAAATCTTTGTAAGTACAAAAATGATAATGTATTGTATTTATTAGAGCATAACAACTGATAGGAAACAGTAGAATTTTAATTTGACTAGTAATTAAATTACAACTTGTCATTATAACACCTGTAAAATGTACATCATTAATTGACAAGACAATCACATGTTTGACCATGTTAATCATTATTCAAAACATGAATTAACAAATGTACTAAACTTTCAAGTTTATTCTAAAAATCTCAATGTCAAATTATATACTGGATTGTTTTGAGAAGAATCACCTCTAATCTTCAAAATGAATTTATATGGTAAAAAAAGGAGTGACTTTAAAAATATTATAAATATGATAAAAATAAAATGCTCCGCTGGGGTGCAGCTTGATACAACCGCAGAGGTCGAACCCTGAACAGTTGGGGCAAGTATGGACACAACATTCAAGCTTGATACAGCACTGAATTTGGATTGTAATTAAATATTTGACACAGCATAGGTTTCTCACACAGAATGAAAGTGGTCTAAGAACTTAAAAATTTTTAATTTACCTATTCAAACCATATCATTATTATTTGCTTTTATATATAAATCAGAAATAACCAATTTAAAATGGAAAATTTTAAAGAAAAAAAAAGGAAAAAAAAATCCCCCCCAATTTTTTGAACCCCCTTATGATTCATCACCCCCAAACTCAATCCCAGCTTTCCCTTTGTGGTATGGTACCTTGCAGTACAATTTCAGAGAGATCCATACACTTGAACACAAGTTATTGTCTGGAAACTAGAAAAATGCTTGTTTTTATGCCCCTTTTTGGCCCCAAATTCCTAAACGTTTAGGGCAATTACCCCCAAACTCAAACCCAGCTTTCCCTTTGTGATATGGAACCTTGCAGTACAATTTCATAAAGATCCATACACTTACACACAAGTTATTGTCCTGAAACTAGAAAAATGCTTGTTTTTTTGCCCTTTTATGGCCCCTAATTACTAAAATTTTGAGGGAATTACCCCCAAAATCAATCCCAGCCTTCCCTTTGTGGTATGGTACCTTGCAGTACAATTTCAGAGAGATCCATACATTTGAACACATGTTATTGTCTGGAAACTAGAAAAATGCTTATTTTTGGCCCCTTTTTGGCCCCTTATTCCTAAACTTTTTGGGCAATTACCCCCAAACTCAATTCCAGCTTTCCCTTTGTGATATGGAACCTTGTGATACAATGTCAGAGAGATCCATACACTTACACACAAGTTATTGTCATGAAACTAGAAAAATGCTTGTTTCTTGCCCCTTTTTGGCCCCTAATTCCTAAAATTTGGAGGCAATTACCCCCAAAATCAATCCCAGCATTCCCTTTGTGATATGGAACCTTGTGGTACAATGTCAGAGAGATCCATACACTTACACACAAGTAATGTCTGGAAGTTACAAAAATGCTTATTTTTTGCCCCCAATTCCTTAACTGTGGGTACCATAACCCCCAAAATCAATCCCCACCTTCCTTTTGTGGTATTGAACCTTATGGTAAAATTTCATTGAGATCCATTCACTAAAACTAAAGTTAGAGTGCGAAAACTAATGTGTCTTCGGACGACGACGACGCCAAGGTCATACCAATATACGACCACAAAATTTTTTTTGCGGTCGTATAAAAATAAAATACCGAGTAGTATATACTTATTTACTGGCTATGAGGACAACAGAAAGTTTATTGTCCGCTAAGCCAGTAAATAAAGTGTTTTATTATACAGAAAGTAAGGGAAAATATTTGCTTCCAGTAAATAGTTTTTTAAACTATCAAGTTGAACTTTTCATTTTCACTTTTTAAATTTTTTCATCAAATCATATTTGTAAACGTATTTCTGATAATTTAAATCTTTTTGACTAAATTAATTAGATGCAAACCGCTGAAATGTAAGAAAATAACTTTGAATAGACCGATCAATGTCCGGTTCAAAATAGTTTACCTGTCACCTGAACAGGTAAATTTCAGCTGTTTGACAACTAATTAGCCTTGATTAAAATGAGAAGGTATTAAAGTAGGGGTTGTTTTGATAGTCCTTAATGATCATGTCACTTTTATGACCGGAAATGTGTGGCTGTTAAAGGCAAAACGTTGGGTCAAAAAGATAGCGAATTATGTTAAAATGACCGTTGATTAAAGCCTTGAAAACTAAAAAGTAGATGACCGTTTCATGCTTTGCCCAGCCGGGCTTTTACAGGACATTATACAAATGTCCGGCATATATGACCGTTTTGGAAGCCTTGCTATCAACCGTTTAATAGTCTTTTTAAGGGGAAAAGTTTGCTTTCAGTAAATTTTTCATAACAAGTAAATAGGTTTTGAAACTTTTAACCGATATTTTTGTAAAAATAGTAAATTTTTAGTCTAAAATTTTATAAATAAAATACATACTTAGGTATAATAATGATCTAACATCGCTTACATCCACATCATTTAGTCTCTGGTGAATACATTTAGTTGTCTCATGGCAATTGGCAATCATACGCCTTTATTTTCATATTATAACCTTTAAGAAAGTGGGTACCTTCCATCAAAACCCCCCAAAAAGACAATGATTTACAATATTTATGCCCTAAGCAGCCTTCAATTCATGTCAATTGTATCATGAAGGACTGTAATTATGTATTGTGTTATCTATATGACAACTCCCATGTTAAGTATTATGTTGCTAACAAATTTAATCCAGGTTGTTAGATCCTCTTCTCTCGACTTGTAGTATATACAATGTATGTATTTACAAATTGAAATTGTAGCATTTAGACCACCAAACAGCTTTCATTTGGTTGTAGTATTAGCGGACGATTATTGGTATACTATAATATGCCTTGTCTTCGATGAGCATATATTAAATAAAAATGTAGTGTAACAAATTTGACATTTATAAAATATCTTTTTATAAATTTTTTTTCTGAAGATATCTCCTCCCAACTTTCTCACTTTTTCATTGTTTTTTGGCTTTGTTTTCAAGTCCCCTTCTTTTGCTACAAAAATATTAATACCCTCTGACCTTGATCTCTCTACATTCTGTTAATGTCAAGAATTATGACACTCTTTATTTACTTTGTTTAGAGAACTGATTCGACTCTCATAATTGGTAATTAATGCTATTACAATAAACACATGACAGGTGCGCTGGACTCCAATCTTGATGGACTAGGATTGTCAGTTTCCCTACCAAAGGTCGGTGGTTCTCGCCAGGCACTCCAGCTTCCTCCACTAATAAAAACTGACCGCCAGGAAATAGAACAATAGTGTTAAAAATGGCATTAAACACCAATCAATCAATCAATATTAAACAAAGACATTTTTACAGTAATTAGATTGTTCATGAATATATTTTTCCATTGAAATACAGGTAAACTGCACTTGAATACATAAAAGTAGGGGCGGATCCAGGATTTTAGGTTAAGGGGGGGGGGGGGGGGGGGGGGGTGGGGGGCGGAAACTGAAATGTTGGCCAAGCTGAGCGAGGCGAAAAAAAATTTGAGGTAAAATTATCGAAATATTCTTAATGCTGAGGACAACCCATGCTATGCAAATTTTAGGAGGGCGCACACCCGTCACACCCCCGCCTGAATCCGCATCTGAAAAGGTATCAACCTTTAGCATGTTTTTAATAGGTAAACAACTTTTCTGGACGACAAATATTTCTTATTGGGTCAATAACTCTGTAAGAAAATGCTGATATTGATCAATTTTCAAGATGTTAGTATACAGTAGGACTTACGATAATGTTTCTGAATAAGTTGTTTCCGCAAAAAAATTTGTCAAATGCATACTACTTAAAACACTTAAACTTAAACCAAAAACACTCTTCAATGTGAATTTATATTTCATACATGTTATTATATTTTTAGCAGCTTATTATCATGATTATCCTTATCCTATTCATTGACAAATGTTTTCTCTTTTTTAATTACCAAGATAAGTTTTTTAGCCACGTAACTTTTAAATTGATCTTCATTACTGTGGGTTTATCTTTTTTTGTAGCTACCAATTTTCGTAGTTTGAGGAAAAATTGTATTTTCGAGGATATTTGATTTTATGGTTTTAAAAAAGTTTGCATTAAGTTCTATATAAAAATTTGAACTTCGTTGAACATTTTAATTTGTGGCTCACCTGTACCCAGGAAATCCACAAAAACTGTTATCCCAAGAATAATAATGAATAATAATCCAAAGCATTAACATTTTTCTGCAGATCTTTCCAGTCAAACTCATATTAACAAGCAAAGTTTGATTGTCGCGTAAAATATTAATTTCTAGCCCTTATCAATCTTACCTGAACTCTATTTTTTTTAACAGTCATACAATACACTCGAGATAAGAATGCTTTTGACCCACAAGGAAGAAATTTTATACAATTTAGATAAAAAATTTAAACTGCAATTTGATGAGAAAAAAATAAACGAAAAGAAAAGAAATAACTAATTATACCTGATATACATGATATACAAATAGAAATATTTTCTGAACAACAACAGAAATTTAAGAAACAAGGAAGAAATCTGACACAACTTTCATGTGCAAATCAGTCATTGAAATTAGAAACCTGCCCGATGGTTTTCCCATTTTACCTTACTAAAATATTTATAATTTAAGTTTAAATAGGGTACTTGTACTAAAATTTACCTCATCACGCCATTAAATGTACAGTAATTGGATATTCTGCATTTAGCATGTTTAACAATGAAACAAGGTTTAATTGTTGAAGTACTAAAATATATCAATAGGTAAATGGTTAAATAATTCTATAAGAAGGTCTTGAAAAAAATATTATTGGATAAAGAACTTAAAGAGACAATTGGACTGCACTCTTTAACCTTTGATCCTTTTTTTTTTTACAAATGTAGATCTTGTATAACTAGAACTCATAAGTTTTTTTTCAAGGTAAAAGACAAAAATGTTCATTTTCAACATAACAACATGCTTTTTTTTTTAAATATTTAGTTAGATTTGGAATTTCTTGAGAAAAAAAATGTTTCAGAAGGCAAGTGAAAAAAATAGTTTGTTTTCATTGAAAAATTTCTTGTTCCTGTTTTTATTGAAAAAATAGTTTGTTTTTAAAATTTGAAAGAAAATGTTTTTCCCTAGATAAAAACCTCCCCCCCCCCCCCCCCAAAAAAAAAAAAAGAAAAAAAGATGAATGGCCTGTGCCTTATATTACTGTTGAATCCTCCAAGCTTTTTAAATATCATGTTGATTTCTTATAACAATTTACAAATTTCAATTTCTCTAACAAGTATATTTCTATTTCATGTATTTTGAAACTCACTGTTTTGCACCGAAGGAACATAAGATCTGATCATCTGATAATATGCAAAGTCATGTCCATTCAAAACTTTTCTAGAAAGACAATTCAGTTGTCATTTTCTCAGAAAAAAAAGAACATAAACGATTTGTTTTTAACACCATACCATTATGGAAGGGTTAAGATATGACAACATAAAACAGACTACCACATTATAAAAGTGGCATGCTTTGAATCAAGGATGTATATTATGTCTTTTTGACCTTATTTGAGCATGTTGGTTTTTTTTCAGTTTCTATTACTCACCATACAATTATATCATTATTATACAAAAGCTTTAATCTTACCATTTTCCTAGTCACACTTCTTTTATAATAGCCTTCTATCTACACATGATACACATCACAACACATGATCCATATTTTGACTGTCTAGTAAACAAAACATTTAAAATGTCAACATCCTGTTCATCATGAATTAAAATTAAAAATAGATTATTGATAAAAATGAATCACCAACATGTATTCTTATTCCTAAAATATATAAAAACCATTCTGATTTACAATCACTAGGTTATTATCACAATCATTTCACATATCAGCTGATAAAATTGTTCTTTGTTTGTCTGTCACCAATCATGCAAATCTTTCATGATGTAAACAAATGGGAGATAACTTTATATTATTGATTGATGTTTGTCTACCATGGGAAATAACTCTAAATTATCTCTATTATTTTACCTCCAGTCATACATACTTGTTAAACATATCAAATCAATTCAACCAAATCAATCTTTGATGGTGTTTTTAATGTAATCATATATAAAATGTACATTTGATTACTGATGTCGAAACTAATAAAGAAGTCATACACACTTTTTTTAAATACTTTTAAATCAACTCAACCAAATCTATCTTAAAAGGTGTTTTTAATATATAACTTGTATAAAAGTACATTTTCTTACTCATGTTTAACTATTAAAAATGATCAGTAAAAAAAAATATTATCTTATGATAAGTGTACACAAATTCTTCAGAATTGGAATTTCTACTTTTAAGTAAATATTATCATAAGTCCATTGACTTCTGATATAATTGTAGAATCGGTGCACTCCATTTACTGTCAATATGACCAACACAAATATTTTTTATTGTAGTTAAAGTGCATTTTCATTTATCAACCCTAATACATATATGTGTGTGAAGTATGAATGTCTTCAGATGTTCTTATTTTAAAAATAAACCAATTTGTGTGAATAATTCTGTTTTGAAGCAAGATAACTACTTCTTAGACCCAAATGTTTCTTTTTGCCTTGTGGAAAAAAAATTATCTTCACAATTTATTTTGAAATTCTATCGATTAGTTTTCTTTCTATTAACACAAAATTGCTTTGTCAATATATAATCTTTACAAAATCTTACAATTTTGCACAAATGTAGTTTGAATAAAGGCTCAGTAAAATATACTTAAATATTTTTAAATTGTATGATAAAATTGTTACATTTGGCAAAGCAGAAAAATTCTATCCTTTTTTAATTTGATCTCCTACCATGTTGATATTTTTAAAGACAGCATGGGAATCTATTTTATTTTTGATGAACTTATTAGGTTGCATTTTTTTTTTCATGAATCACAATTCTTTTAAAGACCTTATCGCTATTTGGGAATCTGACACACTTGGACTATTGACGTCATACAACAATCACTTTGCCTTTGTGGTGCAAGACATTTTCCATTGTGACCTCAAATTTTACATAACCTTTGTGATGTCCAGTAATTGCGGACAAATAGGGATAAAACAAGGAATTTTTTTAATCTGGAATAGTTTTGAATTCTGGAAAATTGATAAGATATGTATGATTAAAACTAACCAAACTTTAGTGGATTAGCCATGCAAACATGGGTAAGGCGCCAGTTGCTTTCACTGATATTTCAGTATGAACTAACTAAGCCCCCTTAGCCATGCATGGCCAACCCTCCTAAATTGGGTTAGTTTTCATCATACATTTCTTATCAATTTTCAAGAATTCAAAACTATTCCAGACTCAGTTAATTCCTTGTTATAAGGTGTAATCATGTTTGATAAGTTCTAATATTCACTGAATTTATTTTGTTGACTAAATGTATTACAGCTTAAATACTTACAATAAACTGTGAAGGTAGTTGGGTTACAGTTGAATGTAAACTTCACCAAGTCCTTTAATCACTTACTAGACAGCCAGGCCTAAGGTGTTTGAAAAAATGTACTTCATCTACTAGTTTGGAATAAGTTTGCCAAATCCTCACTGGAAGTCAGTAGTTACGGATATGTGATATGATTGATCTATAATAGTTTACTCCATGTTTGTTTGTTACCTCTATATGTCGTCTTACTCTATTTATGAGCTTTGAATATTGAAAGCTCTGGACGCTAGATCTCGTCTATTAGTCGGTCCCCCTCTCTGGATGATGAATTTTACTCCCAATTTTCCGACTAATAAGCGAGTAGGAACGGTAAATAACTTTTGATTAAATTTACCGAGTGGTACATCTATTTGGAAAATAAAACGACTTTGACTTTAAACCTCATTGACTTTGGATTTTTTTGTCAATACATAAAAGAGTCATCAATTCATATCATTTATCAACTTTTTTTCCCCCAAATACTGCTGTCATTTGTTATGAAGACTCCAGAATTTAACATTATACAGCTATAATGTAAACTTTTCTGTTAGAACTTTGTCAATTATCACTTTCGCATGGAGAATAAGTTCAAAACCATGTACGAAAATGTTAGTAAGTTAGTGTGTCATCTGTTCGGTCCAATTTGAAGACCTTCCAACAAATATCAGGGCGAAACACAACCAATAACAGAGCTGTGGTGTATTTTAGTTGTACTGTTACACCACAGTCACAGACTTGAGGTTTGGCCCAGGCACACATGTTTAACCCCACAACATCCTATATGTGCCTGTCCCAATTTAGGAGTATGGAATTCAGTGGTTGTCCTTCGTTGCTGTATATCATATTTGTTTTTTGTTTATTTTATTGTACATAAATCAGGCCATTAGTTTCATTTAAATTGTTTTATATTTGTCATTTCAGGGCTTTTAAAAGCTTACTATGCGGAATGGGTTTTGCTCATTGTTGAAGGCTGTACAGTGACCTATAGTTGTTAACTTCTTCATCATTTGGTCTCTGGTGGAGAGTTGTCTCATTAGCAATCTTTGACCATACATGTAACTTCTTATTTTTATATTTATGATGTTGTTATTTCCTAGCTTATGAAGACAACCCTTTGTTTAATCACTCTTGTCTTTTTGTGATGATCATCTATATCTTCCTGAACATGCATGAAATATTTGCCACTGGACATTAAGCAACCAACAATCAATCTATTCAATACTCTATTCTATACTTGGGAGTATAAGTACAAGGCATATTAACATAAGTTCACAACTATGATGAAATAAAATAAAACAGCTGTTATTATTTTTCATAAATTCTTCTTGTTGATATTGCAAAACCAATATAGCTCCCCCAAACCCACTGCCTTGGTAAATACAGAGGTCAATCTACACCAAACAAGAATATGTGTCAATAGGCCTACTTGCACTATCAATTTTCTTGTTCAGTGAAATAAAAAAATCAGGTACATACCTGTAATTTGGCATATAATTTTAATAAGTTCTTCTTAAGAAAGATATTTGGCTACATAAAACTATGTCAACTTCTCACCATGAGGTCCATGTCCCCCCCTCCCCCCCCCCCAAAAAAAAAAGAAGAAATCCCTGTGTTGAAGCATTCCCTCCACAAATCACTCTTTAGATTTCTATTAAAAATAATATTGCAGAACAGCTGGAGTTCCCAAAAGATACCCATCGACTAGAAGAAAATTTTTGTACTGAACTTATTCTGGATATTGGCAGGAAATTAAAACATTAAATAAAAGAAGGGTGTGTCTGAGGACACCCTCTCAAGCTTCAAACAAAAGGAAATGGGACAGACAGATGGAAATTCTGAAGGTCAAGGTGAACACTTAATGCCCCCGTCGCCTACTGCAGGGACATAAAAATATGTCCAGCCATCAGAGGGTGCAATGTGTGGAGCAGGAACTGCTTAACATTTGGAAAGTTTAGAAACATGTACTGGTTTAATAAAAGTAGGAATTGTGAAACTTAATTTCTATTTCCTCTTGTAACTTGTTTTCGTCTAGCCTTTTTAATCAAGAAATTTTTATCCTAGTACAGTTTTACCCCACCCTCTATAACTGACTGAACTGCTTTTACAAATCAAACCTCACCCAACTGTGGCAAAGAATTTGAAGTACTTTCAATATTAATTCTATAAATACATATTTTAATACGGTAACTGTCAACAAATTAACAAATATTATAAATTTTAACATGTTAAAAACACCAATGAAAATTCATTTTTACACATATGTCATGCTTGTCTGTCATCACACAGATAATTAACAATCAATTGGTAACATCGTTGAGGGGGTAAAACAGGGGCGTTCATTTGTCAAATCCCTCCTTTTTTCACACTTCCCCAATCCCCCCCATATGCCGAATCCCAAAAAACTGTTAACCCCCTCATCATAATAAACGATCTTTAACATTAACTTAATTCATTTGTTTTAAACTATAACCATATTCAATGGTTCAACATAAATACTGACCCTGACTGTAGATATTTTTACTGTAAATAAAGTTACAATCTTTAGTGTACTGGGTATAGCCCTGCCCCTAACATGACTTTATACCTACTGTTGAAACAAAAAATCTGACAAATGATATTACCAGTATTCATATAAACAATGTTGCTAATGCAACTTTACAAGATACACAGCCCACTAAGACATAGTCATTTGACCATAAACAGTTTTGGGCAATTTCGTTTTTGAATTTTAAAATAGGCTAGACTTATATATGTGACTTTATCTACAGTTACTCAGTTTTTAGTTTTCTATGTTGTGTTTTGTGTACTATTGTTTGTCTGTTGGTCTCTTTCTTTTTTAGCCATGGCGTTGTCAATTTATTTTCGACTTATGAGTTTGAATGTCCCTTTGGTATCTTTCGCCTCTATTTTACAAGAAAATCAAAAATAATTTTTCGGTAAACACTCAAATTCTATAAAAATCTTTTGATTTCATTGTAGAACAGAAATTTTTTAAGTCATTGAAAAATAAACTTGTACACATTTATGTCTGTTAGACTGTTGTGTAAGTCAGTAATTTTTCATGTACAATCAAAAATAGCACCTTTGGGATGGATGAAGATGGCCTTATTAGAGAGGTAATATATACTTATACCCCAAGAAATTTATAAAATGACTTTATGTAATAATGAATTGGCTGTGAGAAAAATGACTTTTTGAGTTGACCCCGTACATAATAAATACAAATCTTATGAAGTTAATAAACATGTGATAAACACTTTCATTACAATAAAATATGAAAATTTTTTACAACAAACCAAGTACATGTTATGATAACCATATTACTGACGATACGTTTGGAAAACAATTTAAAATATGTAAAAGTTTTACCAATTCAAAAATTATTTCTTTGTAATAATATTCAAGGCTGTGTGATCCAAAGTACAATATATATTACCTTTGGTATAACATGGTTTACAATGTACAAAGCAAATTAATTTAAACAATATAAACCAGTAGATGCTAATGCATGAAAGTGGCTACTCAATTATTCCAATATTTGTGGGTTATTATGAAAAAATGTATTTTTGTGAATATTTGATTTCGTGGTTTTTCCAAAGTCTGCTTACAAACATATAGAAAATGTAAATTTCTTTAAACATTTAATTTTGTAGTTATTATTCAATATCATGGGTTATTATAAAAAAAAATATATTTGTGCCAATAATTGATTTCTTGGTTTTCCCAAAGTCCGCTTACAAACATATAGAAAATGTACACTTCTTTGAACATTTAAATTTGTGGTTAACCTACACTCACTAAATCTATGAAAATGTGTACCCCAAGAATCATGAAAATGTGTACCCCTTAGAATCATGAAAATGTGAACGCCCAAGAATTATGAAAATGTGTACGCCCAAGAATCATGAAAATGTGTACCCACAAGAATCATGAAAATGTGTACCCCCAAGAATCATGAAAATGTGTACGCCCAAGAATTATGAAAATGTGTACCCCCAAGAATCATGAAAATGTGTACCCCCAAGAATCATGAAAATGTGTACCCCAAGAATCATGAAAATGTGTACCCCAAGAATCATGAAAATGTGTACCCCCAAGAATCATGAAAATGTGTACCCCAAGAATCATGAAAATGTGTACCCCAAGAATCATGAAAATGTGTACCCTGAGAATAATAATGAATCCACAGTACTTTAAACTTACAAACTGTAAAAATTTTCCAACCACAAAAATAAAACAAAATGTGGTACATGTACAAAATTAATTTCAATTTATTACTTCCTACCTACACAAATACAGTATAACATCAACATGTTAATAAATTTTTGTCTATATTGTTGATGGACAAACTAAAATAAAGAATGTGTCTGAGGACACGAATGCTCTGCTCAAGCTTCATACAAGCAAAAATGGGACAGTCAGATGGAAAGACTGAAAGACGGACGGTCAAGGGCAACTCTTAACTCCCCTATAAAAATATCCCTGCTCAAAGCAACAAAAATAGGAAAATTTCTTCTAAATAAAAATTTTCCACGGTTTATCAAATTAATGCCAAATATTCATTCTAGAAGATAATTTCAAAATCAATGGTCTCTATGGAAATGAGATCTGCAAATCTAATACAAACTTTTGTATACCAAATATCATGCATACTTTAAAAGTCTCACTTGTATGAGTTCATTAAGGCAAAACAAAACAGCATTTAATCTGGATAGATCCCTTCTTTACAGCTTTGACCTTCACACAAATGCATTAAACTGCATCAAGTGTCATTGGAGGAAAGGGTTTGGTCTAGCAGCTTTGAGAATATGATAGTTTGAAGCATGGATTAAACAAATGGGTTTGGTCTAGCAGCTTTGAGAATATAATAGTTTGAAGCATGGATTAAACAAATGTGTTTGGTCTAGCAGCTTTGAAAATATGATAGTTTGAAGCAGGGATTAAACAAATGTGTTCTGTCTTATATCTCATAATATAAGAGCGAGAGATTCAAAACAAAGTATATCATGTGTATATTACATGTATTAAGTGAAAACTTAAAAAATGTATTTTGTTGTGAATATGGTTGCTTAAACATATGAGATTAAGAAGACGAATCATCAAAATCTGCATATTGCTTAGATACATATATTTGGAAAGAATTTTATGGATAAATATTCTCAAAAATATGAATAAAATAATATTGTTAACAACTGTCAAGCGCATACATTGTACTAATGAAGAGAGCTATTTCGGAAAAGAGGTTTGACCATCATTGCAAGGACATTTAACATGTTTAACAGTAGATATTTTATCATTCTGTTTATGAAACAATACTATACATGTACAAATGTATAAATAAAAGAGTGGCACAGATTTTTGTTCAGTAGCTAATTATTCAAGAAAATGTAACATTGCCTATTTGGTTAAAATGTAATAAACTAAATAAGTTTTATGAAATCATAATTATGTTTAATAGAGATACATGCAGTGACATGTTAATGTTTAATCACAGAATTTTGTCCACTTAGTTGAATTTCTTTTAATGGTAGCTACACAATCAATCTCAATTTGACCTGTGACATGCATGACACACTGTAAAAAAAATATCGAAAAAAAATCAACCTTTAAAAACTTTCTTCATTGGAGTAATAAAAGCATCAATAAAATCCCATAATGCATTAGACTTTCGTTTCCTTGGTGATCTTCTTGAAGAAGATGGTGGTGAATCTGATTTTGATATTGTTTGCAATTTCATCGATTCCTTTATTTCTTCTTTCTCAACTTCATGACGATCCAACTGATTCCGTGTAACACGCTTTGATTTCTTACTGAAGGAATTATACCGTAAATTTTCAAGTCGCTCTGACTCATTTCCAATTGACTGATATGGTCTAAAAAGATCAATTTTAGGTGATGGTCTCTTTTTACCATCATTTGAGTTTTGTGGTCTTTTTCCTCTATATAACTTCCCAGAATTATTTCCTTTCTTTCCTTGTGGTGACAGACTTCTGCTCCTGAAAGAATATTTCACTACATTCAGAGCAGACGGATCCAAACCCCGTGATTCAGATGATGACCTAGAAGAACTTGTCTGTGATACACTATCTGTCTTAAGATTCTGATTTTTTGTTGTAACACTTCTAAAATTTCTAAGCCTACGACTTTCCCTTGTAGATGGTGCTAATTCTTCTCCTGTACAGCGAGATGACGTTCTAAATTTTAACTTTCCAGGTGAAGCAGATGGTTTGTTTTGTAATATCGGTCTCCTCACAGGTTTTACACTATAGTTTTCAACTGTTTTCTTTGATGACATTGATTTTACTGGGGTTTGACTCTTACTCTTTCCTTTCCTCAATATATTCAACCTTGTATTTTTCTTAGAACTTCTAGTTTTGGGTTCTGAACTGATAGAGTGAGTCCTACTTCTTGTTAGTCTTTCCAGATATGTTTTAGTTGGTAACTGTTTTGTCGTTTTTAATCTTTTATTTGAACACACAGATCTCTGTTTTCTACTGTGAGTATTTGGAGTTTTCTTTGACACATATTTAGGAATTCCTTTTGATTCTGTTTTCTGCCTTAACTTAGAACTGTTCTGTTGCATAGATTTTCTTGAATTATCTGCACCACTAGTTTTAGCAGACCTGTTTCTTAGTTCCCTCTCTTGTGAAGATACAGCTTCATCTTCAAAGTTACGTACTGAATACCTTCCAGACATTTTACGAATACCAGATACTGTATTATCATCCAAACTTTGCTTATGTATCTTACTTCCAACTAACCTAGATGATCTAGCTTGGGGTGTTTTGCTACTGATAAATTTTTCACATTCTGATACATTACCTGTATCTATTAATATGCTATCATTCCTCAGGCCACTGACCTCAGGGGAACATGCATCTACCTGTTTTTGTTTAGATCTTGTAACATTTCTAGTATATCTCTCTCCAACTTTTTCTTTAATTGTTCTTTTGTCTGATACATGTAATTCTGACAATCTGTCGTTCCCCCTTGATTTTGAGGTACATGTACTCCTTGTATTATAAAATTTGTTCAGATTAACCGATCCAGGTGTGTTACAATACACCTCAGTCTTGTATAACTTTCTCCGCTTTACATTACCAGGACTATTTGGTACACTGACAGTGGTAAATAGTTTTTCAACCTCTTCCTTCTTGCGTATTTCTTCTCTTTTCAATCTTTCCCTTTTTCTAATTTTTTCCAATAAAATTTCTCTTTCTTTCTCTTCATTGTCTTCCAAATTTTCATCGTTTCTAACAGATTTATCATTTGCAGGTATATCATCTATATTTTGTATACCTCTATAAGATTCTACAATTTGCTTAGGGTCAGTTCTAGCTTCATCTGACTTTCTGTTTTTAGGTTTGTCATGTGACTTATCAAGATTTTTCACATGTTCTAAACTTTTTCTTTTTGCATGTGCTGTCGTTTTGTCTAGCATAGGTTTTAAATCTACTTTCAATATGTATTGATATGGACATGCCTTTAGCTGTTTTCCATTGACAAAAAAATTCAAACTTCGACAAGTCTTCCAACCTTTCTTTAAAGTTGTAACAACGAAGTCTGTTGTGTGGATAGGTTTGAAGATAACACTCCTCTGGTCCATATACAGCATGGCCCGTAACACATCTTCGATCTGTTTGTGCGCCTCTTGCACAGAACAAGGGAGACAATCATCGAAGTCTCTTTGCGGTAAAACTTTCACCTTGTAGACTGTTTCATCACACTTTATCAGTCTTGTGTCCTCTTTCAGTAAGTCAAAACTTCCAAGTGGCATTTCAAAGTCTACCCTAAAATACAGATGAGTAATTATATATAATCAATTAAGAAAATGGAGTGTTAATGATCAATACTTCATCAAAAGTATAACAGTAACTTTCATTAAAAAACTCATCAGACATACTGATTAAAATCCAGCACATACATGTAAATTTATGTACTGAAAAAATAAACACTTACTGACATACATATTTCCTTTTATTAACTTATTTTGAAAATTTTGCAAGTAAAAATATCTGAAATCAACTTTTTGGAGGTCAAAAACACAAAATGTGGAAAATATTGTCCGAACATTCCAAAGTTTATGGAAACTGATTGTGCTGCAAGTGGTGAACTCTTAATCCCATCAATGAAGACCTTGCAAGATTGAAAGTAGATATAACAAGATGTGTTGGAACAACACTAATCGCCCTGCTCGCAATTAAAAGCTGGAAGCAATTTTTAGGAGTGGAAATTTGACGATGAAAGTCTGTATAACTGTTATTTTCAACTCAATCTGTAACTCATCATACATGTAGTAGACTCACATACTAAAAATCAGCTCAATATATGAAGGTGTTTCGAAAAAAAGTCTGTATAACTGTTATTTTTTCAAAATTATTAAAGTCTAAAATCCATAATTTTGGCAAAAATCAGCAGAGCAGAACCATACATAGACTCAATCTGTAACCCTTCTTTTCTGTAATAACCTTCATCAAGGGCTCTCAAAGCAAAATATTTGAAAGCCAAGGATGTATAAAAACCAGTAAGATTGATGTTGCAAAATTTTCAGCTTTCTATGTCATGTATGTAGTGTTTAGTAAACTTATTTTTTTGTCTTTTTATCTTTTCCTTTGGGTAATGCTGTTGTCGGTCTTTTTTCTCCAACTTATGGCCTTTTATTGATTCCCTTGGTATCTCATTATTTTTTTCCTATGGAAAATACCTCAAAGTGTCAGTAAAAAGTACATGTATGTGTTTTATTTGTGTTTTTCAAGTAGTACATATGTACACACAAAATGTATACTGTCGATTCATTTATTTTCGTGGGTACAAATTTTCGTGGATTAAGGAAATCTTATATGTTCATGGATATTCAAATTCGTGATTTTGCAGAAGTCTGCATACAAGCCTATAGAAAATTTGTTATTCATTGAACATTTGATTTCATGGTTCACCTGCATCCACGAAATCCACGAAAATTGGTATCCAACGAATAATAATGAATCCACAGTATATAGGAACAGCATCAGGTTTTTTTTCACATTAACCGTATCATAACCTGTCTAACCCATATTAATAAGTTCATTTTATATATGTGTAGTACCTAGTACATATCCCTGCACATGTGTACTGCAATAGTAGAATTACATGAACATGATGATTGATTGATGATCGATTAATAACTGCTCAATATCAAGCAACAAATATAACATAAAAATAAGGAGATGTGGTTTGATTGCCAATGAGACAACTATCCACCAAAGTTCAAATGAAGTTGATGTAAGCAATTATAGGCAACCGTACGGCCTTCAACAATAGAGGAAAACCCATACCGTATAGTCAGCTTTAATAGGCCCAGACATGAAAATATGAAACAATTCAATTGATAAAACTAACAGCCTAATTTCTAACAAAACAATTTACAAAAAAAAAATATGACACACATGATGATGAACCGACGACAACCACTGAACTACAGGCTCCTGACTTGGGACAGGTACAATGTACATAAAGAATGCATATTTGGGACAATAACATACATTGTATTAATGAGATAGTATAAATTGGAATAAATAGAGGTTCTTAAGAAAAGTACACTAGCTGTATACATGATATATACTAAGTGGTGCTTCAAATTTGAGGTACACTGTCAGTATTGCATTTCTTTTTTTTTTTCTAACTGGAATTCATTGTTCAATATCTGTAGATTCATTACTATTCGTCAGATACCAACTATCATGACTTTTTTGCTTCAAGTCAATAATTTATCAAAGATGGTAAGCTTCAAGACCCATATGTACATAGGTCAAGCAAATTGGACTTATTCAAGTCAATAATTTATCAAAATTGGTCAGCTTCAAGACCCATATGTACATAGGTCTAGCAAATTGGACTTATTCAAGTCAATAATTTATCAAAATTGGTCAGCTTCAAGACCTGTATGTACAAAGGTCAAGCAAATTGGACTTAAACAAGTCCAAAATTGTAAAATCCATTTTTATCATAAGTACAATAATAACATATATTTTCACTTAGAACTGTAAGACAGAAACAAAAAGAGAATTGTTTATGTCTGAGCTCAGACTGATTAGTACCGGTACTAATTGTTAAAGCTGAGTCAACATTTTTGTACATGTGCATGTACGCAGTGTGAAGGTTAGATGTGCGTTTACAGCTCTTCTATAAAAGCATGCAAAGCAAACCTTTGATCAACTTGCTTGCTATGTTTGCTTGGATGTTTGCAAACAATAGGTAGGCGGAGTTTCAGTCTGTTTTGTATATACTGGAATTTGATTAGACAATAAAAATTGACATGCAATGAAGTTAATGTATATTGTCCAATCAAATTCCAGTATATAGTAAACAGACTGAAACAGACTACCTAACTTTTGTTTACAAACATCCAAACAAACATAGCAAGCAAGTTGATCAAAGGTTTGCTTTGCATGCTTTTATAGAAGAGCTGTAAACAAAAACTTACCTTACTGCTTCTTAAAACTTATTCAAGATCTTCCTTTTTTGGTTTCAACTAACCATTTAGGTATTATTCTTGACTACCATTGAACCATTTCTCTGAAAAATATATCAATACTTCACTTCATTTTGTGAATAAATAACAAGTACAAGACAAATTTTATTTAAGTTACATTGGCATGATTGGGAATTTGCCAATTTGATGCAGCCAGATCAGGGGTTAAACTTATACAAGTGACATTTATTTACCAGTTAGAGATATGTTTAAAAAAGTGATATTTTTATCACTTATTTCGGTGATTTCTAAAATTCAGTAATCCCCTATTAAAGTGGTTTTGGTGTTTCCTTTGATCTTCAAATACAGAATTCACGAATTTCCCACTAAATGACAAATTTTTCTGTAATTTGCCTACATAAATCAATTATCCATTTCTGTTATATATTAATTTCAGGAGCACCAAGGCCAGTACATTTGTAGGTAAGTATGTGGGCTAGAGCTTTAAAAGTACCCTTGGGAATCTTCCTATTCATAATAAAATATTCATTATAACTGCTCAATCCTTTAGACATACAGTCATTGACATCTACAAAGGTCAACATTTTTATGTAACCTGATTTGACTTCTTTATTTATTAAATAGAATGATTAACTTTAAAGTTTTGTTCTTATTAAGAAATCATTCCAAAATTATTTCATGCTTATTTCAAATAAACTGTAAAAACTGACAAGCAAATTGACCAGAAGAGCATTTCTAGTTTTTTAGGAACATAAACACTACGGATTATTTTCAGATTTTTATTCTTTTAGAAATGTTTCAACATGCTAAAATAATGCATTTAATTTCAGGAAAAAGTTGCTACACAGATATTTTTATTCATATTTCAGGGACAATCTATGTTAGGGTCGTAGGGAATAAAAAAGCATGATATGTCAAATTTTTTTTTCTTCTTCTGGAAATCAAAAAATAGGGTAGGGGATCCGTAACCCAACTAATTAAAAAACCCTAGCATTAGTAATTATAAAGAATCTGTTTCAAATTTTGTTATCTTTTTTTCAATTTTCAAATGTCATAACGACTTTAATACATGTATTTCATTCTGAAATCATCTGTTTTAATACCCCTGAGTCCCTGACTGTTTACTGATACATGTGAATATTATTTAAGGTAGAACTATCTCCCTTGATCATATAGATCTAAGTGTAATACCAACAAAACATAGTACGTCACATCCGTTTTCATATTAAAAATGCAGAAAAAAGAAAGACCCTTGATTTTGACAGTTGAAGGAATTTGACCCTGAAGTTCATTGTAGAAATACTGTTCTAAGTCATTAACATATATCTTGGGTGTTTCAAAGCACCATTCTTTTTTTAATTGAATTGGTGTTCCAATAAAATAGTTTGGAAACTTGAGGTGACCAGGTTACTAAAAGCTTGTAAACAGGGTAAAAAACATAAATACTGATCCAAAGTGTGAATGTGGGCAACTAAAAATATATTAATCTCTTTTTATGTGTGAACCTCATGAAGAAGCAAGACAAAAGCTACTACAACAGTTGTTTTTTTCATAAGGGATCCATACACCTGGATTTAGTACTTTTATTGGTAGAAAAGAACAATAACCCTCCCATCTCAAGCACAATACTTCTTCGTCTTCCAAATACCTAAAGTAAAGTAATATTTATTCAAAGTCTGGTTTTCATAAACAATCACTACATAGATCAACATTTGATCCTAACCTTAAGGATGTACTTAGGTGAATTTAAAATCTAGAATTTAAAATTGATTCTATAAGTCAGAAGAGCATTAGTTAAGGAACAAAATAAGGCTAAAAATATTGATAGGTTATAATGGAGCTCTTTTTCAAGATTTTTTTTTTTTAAATGGCGGGAAAAGGCTGACTCAAGACTTTTACCTTATATTTGGTATTATTTGGGTCTCAAATCAAATGAAAAGAAATCTACAATCTGCTAAAAAATTTTAAATGACCTTTTATGAGCTATTGAAGTTTTATATGAAAAGAAAAATGGGTGTTATGGGGCAAAATATTTTACCCTGTATCGTAGGAAAAAACCCAAGGAGTCCGAAACATTTGACAAAAATTTCTAAACCTCACCGAAGTACATCCTTAAGTTTCATAAAACATATTACTAATTATATAACTGTGAATAAAGCTCAGAGAGTTTAGGCATTAATCCATATTTCTTTTGACTATTTGGATAAAGATATGTTTATTTCTCTACATAAATCGATAATAAGTCCATTGTTGGAATATTCCACCACAGTGTGGACACCATATTTAAAAAAAGATATTTGGAAAATTGAAAAGATACAGCACCATGCTACCAAACTAGTACCTTGTATAAGAAATTTAAGTTATGTAGATAGATCAGTCAGGGGTACTACTTATACAAGTGATTTCAGAATCACATCTTTAAGTGATTTTGGCTTTGAAAAATTGAAAATTTTCACAAAATAAGACACAGGCTTTTTAAAATAACTGAAACAAGTAATTTGAGAAGTAAAAATGTAATCACTTCAATAAGTGTTTATAACATTTTCTTGATATTTTTCCCACAAGCTTCATTTTTTTATTGGTTAAAAGATAAGGATTCCAGTTAAATCAAAGTGCTGGATAGCACCTCTGGGAAGTTTGCAACTGTAGATGTGTATTATTTCAAATAGGTTATAGATACGCATTATTTCAAATATGTATTTAATCACGGTTTTTTGTTTTTTAACTTAACCATTTTCTTTTCAGCAATTATCAAAAATCACTTTTTTTCATATGTTTGTCATATAAAATTTTTATATTTTCTATTGCAACCTTTAAACTGTTGTTCTAAAATAATCCAATATACAGAAAGCTCTGTTAATTTCTTTATGTGCCCATGTCATATCTAGAGCCTGTGATTTTATAGGTTTTTTCCATTTGTTACTGGGCATAACCCTAACCATTGCTAACCATAACAGTAAAATGACGGCACCAAAATTCAAACTTGATCTTGGTTTTGTGGTTAAAAGTATTGTGTATAAATTTCGTAACATTTGGTTGAGGCACACTAAAGTTTGAGCACGGAATTGAAAAAAATTTGTAAGTGTTCCGCGGAACCCGGTGTCTCGCCTACTTTGCCTGTTAATCGCAGGCTCAACAAAAATGAGGAAAAAAATTAATAAAAATATTCCTCTATATACTATCTTTTGATTGTAAGAAGCTTCTGTCCAAGTTTGGTAAAAATCCAGGATAGTTTATGAATCTAATAAATGTATTGAAAAATTTAACTGCAGACTGTATGTAATGTTAACTGGAAGAAAAGCTAAGTCAATTAATTAGTTAAATACGGAAAAACAAGAACAAAATTTTAACTAAATTTCATTCTAGATACTATAGCTAGCTTTTCATCATAAACAAGCTTCTGTCCAAGTTAGGTACAAATCCAGGATAGTTTAAGAAAGTTATTAAGATTTCAAAAACTGTAACCACAGACATGACAGAGTGAATATTTGTGGATGCCAACGACGAAATGTAGGATTGCTATGTCTAGCTTTTTCAACAAAAGTCGAAGGCTCGACAAAAATCAGCAATTTTTAAATTTGTTAAGGGCATAACTCTAGAATAGTAAATCTGAGGCCACCAAAACTCAAATTTAATCAGTGTTTTGTGATAATGATCATTATGTATAAGTTTCATAACATTTGGTTGAGACAAACTAAAGTTAGAGATTGTAAACAAAAAAATTCAAACAACTTTTCCATTTGTTAAGGAGCATATCTCTAGCATTGTAAAATCGACGCCACCAAAACTCAACTTGACCTGTGTTATGTGGTAATAAGCATTGCGTATAAGTTTCATACCACTTGGTTTAGGAAAACTAAAGTTAGAGAACAGAAACCAATTTTGGGATGTACGGACGTTTGTACAAGTAAGGACGTACATACTTACAGAAGAAAAAGGGTAAAACTTAATACGGAGGGGACATAACAATAGCAGTATGACGACAGGAATAAAAAGTTTATATACACTAAATTCATTTATAACCCTGTAACACATTTAATAGTTGATGCCGTGAAATTTAGCATTGAGGCAATAACATTTGAGATTTTTGGTTTTCAGCCATTCATTTGATATGTATAGTAATCATTCTCTGTGTTGAGATGACACACTGTTAATTACAGGTCAATCTTTAAGAATCATACTGATACAGGAGTAAGGATAAAAAGTTCTGGATCTACCACTGCATGGTTAAACACTAAGAGTAAGAAAGTCATTTTGCTATTACATGGACAGATTTTATTTAATTATGTAAATAATTGCTACAGCACTTGTCTTGATACACTGAGTTATTCTAAGTAGAAGCTGACTTGTCTGCCTTATCCTTGTAACGATTTTTTACAAATGTAATTGTTAATTGTAACACTGAGGCTGTGATACGTACGATCCACGTGACTGTGAGCATGCTGGACTAGTGAAGGTCCTAAAACCCATTTTGGAATGTGAAATAGCTAGTATTTATTAGCGGAATTTAAAAGTTTTCAAATGTTTTTGGCATCAAAACATTCCGATCAATGTTTTGATAAAACATGCACTTTTCTATCATAGCCAGAATTTACCTTTACTCATCCTTGGCATGTGACATAAGCATATGATTATCGAGTATTTCTGTCACCTGTGTATAATTGTTCAATCAAATTATTATCACTTGTCAATTATCCGAAGGCTTGGTCAAAATATAAACATGTTTCACTAATGTCAGTCATACAGGATTCTTTTCGATACATTCGGGCTTTTACTTTATATTTAATAATAAACATTTGTAAATATCGTACGTATTAAAAATTGCGCAGGAAAATGTTCATTCATGAAATATTCATGAATGAAACGATGTCTCGCGTAGATTTCTTTTGATTTTCTCTTCAGCGCATGGCAGATCCACGAAGTAGTGTTTGTGATACTCATTTTCAAAATGAAGTTTAATTCACCTGAATTGTCGGTGAACATTCATTCCTTTTTTATTCAAGCTGTAATCTTTTCAACAGGACTCAAAATTTCAAAAGCATCTTCCTAGAATCAGTATTCAAACACTAGTACTACATTATCTTGGAGCAGAACATTTGCGATAGTCTGTCACCGGAAGTTTGAGGCTGACGCCTCAGGAAAGTATTGCAATAGCAAACTGCCCAAAAACAACTACATACATGCAGAAATGATTTTTTGCTTGATGAGCCTGTCAGTTTTTACAGTTTGTTTAAAATATGCATAAACTGGAATAATTTGTAGATCAGGACATAACCTTGAAGTAGATCATTCTAACTCTAAAGAAGACCAATCAGGTTACTTAAAATTGTTGACCTTTGTCTGATTGTCAGAGTACTGTAGTTAATGAATATTTGATTACAGAAAAATTCCCAAGGGTACTTTTAAAAGCTTTAGTGCACTAACTTACTGTCCAATCGCACTGGTGAAATTAATATACAAGAGAAAAGGATAATTGATCTATGTAGGAAAATTAAAGGAAAGTTTGTCAAAATAAGGAAAGTTAATGAAATTAGCATTTGAAGATCTAAGGAAACACCAAAATCACTTAAATAGGTGATAACTGAATTTATCAAATCACTGAAATAGGTGATAATGAAATCACTTGAATAAGTAGTACCCCTGACTGTAGATTTAAAGCCTCAGGCCTACCAACACTTGAATACAGAAGGATTGTTATGATATGTCACAAGTGTATAAAGCTTTACATGGGTTAGATGATATTAAATGGCAAAATATGTTTGAGTTGTCTCCAAATTCTGCTAGAGGTCATTCTTGGAAATTAATTAAGAAAAGGTGTAATTCAACTCAACCTCTTCATACTTTTTTACAAAGGATCATTGATTAACAGAAATAGTTAGTGCAAAATCTTGTCAATACACATGATACATGTATATTTTTAAATCGTATTAAACATGTTACAGAGGAACACTGGAATGGAAAGAAGTTTAATCCTACATAGATGAGAGATGATAAATAGTAGTTATTTTAACTTTTAATGTGAATACGTAATTGATAAAATTTAAAAACCATAGTTTACCAGAATGGGAAAATAAGTTATCCTTACTAAACGCACAGCTCACACTTTAATAGTATACATTGAATTGTTGTAAATTAATTATAAAGTTTAATTACGAAGGGGCTAAAGAAGATTTCAACTTAAAGATCATCACAGTAATCCAGGTAGGTAGAATGAGCTTAAGAGCTCTTTAACCCACTGCCCACATTCAACATGATGAATTTTCTGGCAAGTTGTGCATCATGACTAAAAAATGGTTAAAAAACAAATTGTTCAGTTATTTTTAGAGGTGTTGGTCACTTGAGACTTGAATATCTCAAGAGATTTTGCTGTGGCGATATGTAGAGGTTGTTTGTTCCAATCAGGGCTTCCAAAATTATTTTTAGCCAGCCGGACATTTTATATATTATCCCGATTTTAATCCCTTAAGACTAAATAAAGAAAAGGCAATTATGGTAATCAGTTGCCGAGTTGGCCATCCCAATGATTGACATTAAAAAAAAACGATATTAAACTTTCTTTGATTCAAATTCGAAGTTCTGACGTAAACTGTTAAATTGGCACTGCATCATTCGAAGTGTGCAACATCACCGTACTTATATCTGCCTTAGACTTTTTATTTGTGTAAAATAACGTTGTCAAAAACTTTACTTTTGTTTTTAAATCTACCGGATGTTATCTTGACAATGGTAATACATGGACCAGAGACGGATACGTAAATTCCGTGTACGTTTGCAAAGCATGAATGAGTGTATAAGTAGCTCATTCTACGTTATTTCTTCAAGAAAATATTCGAAATAAATGTGAGATAAAGGTATCAATGACAATTTAAGCTTTTTTTGAAGAAATTAGGATGCATAATTAAATTTCACAACTGCGCACACGTGTACTAGTTCAAACAGAGACATGTCTCTGGTTCAAACAACGTGGTTATGACGATTTTTCATTTTCACCTTTTTAATTTTTTCATCAAATCATATTTGTAAATGTATTTCTGATAATTTAAATCTTTTTGACTAAATTAATTAGATGCAACCGGTGAAATGTAAGAAAATAACTTTGAATAGACCGATCAATGTCCGGTTCAAAATAGTTTACCTGTCACCTGAACAGGTCAATTTCAGCTGTTCGACAACTAATTAGCCTTGATTAAAATGAGAAGGTATTAAAGTAGGGGTTGTTTTGATAGTACTTAATGATCATGTCACTTTTATGACCGGAAATGTGTGGCTGTTAAAGGCAAAAGGTTGAAAGATCGCGAATTATGTTAAAATTATTATGACCGTCTCTTAAAAAAGCCTTGAAAACTAAAAAGTAGATGACCGTTTCGTGCTTTGCCCAGCCGGACTTTTACAAATGTCCGGAATATATGACCGTTTTGGAAGCCTTGGTTCCAATCTATGATGATGTTTACGAAGGAGGATCATTTCCTTCAATCTTTGGTGGCTGGCTGTAATAGGTCGAAGTTTTCATAGTTTTGTGGGAAATTTTATTCTTGATTCGCTCTGTTTTAATTAATTTGATATATAGTTGCACCTATAAGGTCATGTGAATTAAGTACAAATGAGATTTTTTTTTTTTAATTTATACGGCTCAAGTGTCAATACCAAGGATTATACAAATCCTTGAGAATACAGATTTTGCACAAGGACAGAATTTGATCTTGCATTTAGGAGGGCAGGGCTCACGCTACCAGGCGACTAGGGCGAAGATGTAGCTTTCCCGTCCGTCACTTCGCTTTGCCGACCCTCAAAAGCGAAAACTAGTCGCCCTGTGGTTTACGATACTCGCTTTCAGTCGCTTTCGTCATCGACAATATTCAATTTTTACCTAGTCGATGAAACAGCAATTTTTCAGTAAAAAGTAAAGAAATTCAAAGACATAAACGATTTATTTTCTTCAAAAAGAGGTTAAGGCATTGATTTTAAAGTTGGTTGCATGTTATTTCATAAAAACAATTTTTTATCACTTCCGGTACTTGTTAGAGAGAGTACATCAAATCATTCTAATTTTCGGCAAAATAAGTTCGTTACTTCATTAAAACGTGATGAAATTTGCCTGAAGTAAATTTGTTATCCATGTATTGCATTAAAAACGTCATATTCCTTTCCAAATAGCGTGTAAAATACGTTTATTTTTGTAAATTTTTCTTCTTCGTCCGCCATTGAAATATTTGTACTTAACTACTGATTGGAACCGGACCAGTTATGGCCGAAATCCGGATTCTTACGATAATGACTACTGAAGAATGAATGGCACAGCTGACAGAGGAATATTGATCCCAAAAGGAAAAATTACGCATTCCCCGCGCATTAACATACTTTTGGTTAGATCTACTTGATAAATGTAAATATTTCCATGTATATGAATTGTTTCAATATATTAATTAAAATTGCTCAACTCTGGGACTACTATACTATGTCCAAGCTTAACTGTGTTAAATTTATATATCTTTTTAAATGAGAATTTTAACCACTGAATTTCACAAACATAACAGAGTATATTTTAAATTGAAATAACAACTTTCTTTTCCTTTTTGATTTAAAAAAAATCTTTTTTATTATTGCTAGATATTAAACTGGTTTTTTTTCTGACAAGAGGACTAATATGATTGTGCAACTAGATATGATAAAATTAAACAACTTTGAATTTGAACTGTTACTTTTATTGTACTCCCAGGTACAAATTGAGCAATATAAAAAAATAAGATACATATGGCCCTTTGTATTATAGTAAAACCAAACATTGTAGCGCCGCGAGCGAAGGAGCACTTCCCTCTCAAATCTCACCACTTCTCCCTCTCAGTTTCAAAAAGAGAAGTCACTTCTCCCTATGATTCTGAAGTAGTGTGAGCCCTGGGAGGGTAGGACTGCCCGTTACCATCAGGCGTCAAACGGTCATTTTTGGCTACCGTTAGCGTCAAATTGATTAAAATTTTCAGTGATTCGTCAAAATATCTTTATCTTGATTTGTCAGAGGTCTCAAATAATTATCGTTACCATTATTTTTGGAAAAAAATTAACATGATTCGTCAAAATCTGTCTATTTTTTTATTGTCTAAAAGAAAGTGAACATGTTAGGGAGCTACCATTTGATTTTTATGGGGGGGCTAGGATGAAAAATTTTGTCCTGCCTTTTTTTTTAGTTGTAATATCTGTCCTGCCTTTTTATTTTTCACTCTGTTCGGTCCTGCCTTTTTTTTTAAAGTTTATCCTGACATTTTTTACCTAAATCGACATCCTGACTTTTTTTTTTGCAAGTGTCTCATCCTGCCTTTTTTTTTACTCAAAACTCCTGTCCTGCCTATTTTTCCTAGCCCCCCCCCCCATAAAAATCAAATGGTAGCTCCCTTATCATCATGCACCAAAAATGACAGTCAACGTAATTTGGCAAGAATTTTTACCCTTATTTGTCAAGAAGGTACCCCCATTACGACCCTCATTTAGTACTGAGTCTGAGACAGTGGAAACTTGAAAAGGTCATGTCCAAATAATTATAACGCCTAGAGTAAGACTCTAGTCTTCCAGACGTCGACCTTTTTGGACTAGCAAAGGTCTTGGACATATATGGAAACTGTCTCCCGATCGGAGGATATTGCCTAGCTGACATACAAATTTTATGTAACACACTAAATAACAGCAAAGGTAACGGAGATAGAAACCAGCAGATATTCAATCTTTAACATAGTGTTATTTCACTGAATTTTGAATCGTCTTTTTCAAAGATATGCATGACATGTTGGTTTTGATCGTACAATTTTCAAATTATTTGTAACGTTTACATTCATGCAGTACAAATTGTCCTCCTTGTCATCTGTTTACTATTTTCAAAGATGGCGGTATTTGAGATCAATGGTAATATGCAGATCGTTTTCGGATACATAAGATTCCGGATAATGAAAGATGAAATGGGGGGAGGGTACTTCGATATTTTTTTTGGTAGAGATGTGCCATTTTTGCCTAAAATACGTACCCGTTTTAATATAACATTCACTGAAATTCAGTAGCTATAGTTATATAAATATTTACGATTGAATGACCTATACTTATAAACAATATTTAGAATATGACCCATCATCGCTTATATAAGCACTAAATCTATATCATCACTCATAATTCATAAATATACAGCTATCCTTAAGTTTTTATATATGAATTGACTTCCGAGGTTCATTGGGAACTTATTTGAAAGGTGAACTTTGAAATGAATTGATTTAATTTAATATAATAATTGACCATTAATAATGACCAATACCTAATGTAAGATTCTCAATAGCATATTTATATACGATATGTAGATCATACCCCAAATCAATATACAGTTATCAAACGTAAATAGGATGTCATTAAAAAGGAGGGTAATTTTATATAAAATTTCGCGAAATTATGACCCATATTTTTGGCACATCCCCGTATATAGAACGGCAGATGATTCTCAACAAAGATTCAGTAGCAGGACCAACAGTAATAAAGTCATTCATCAAAGATTCAAAACAAATATCCGTAAACACTCTTTCTCTGTTAGAATTGCTAAAACCTGGAACAAATTACCAGATAAAATAACAAAGTCACCATCAACAAATGCATTTAAAAACCGATTAGACAAATTTTGGTCAGACGAAGAGATATACTATAATGACTACAGAGCAGAAATATCCGGAAGTCACGGACAAAATACTAATAGAAAAACATTAAATTATGAGTCTGGTGAAGAGGAACCTTGAGGGGTCCTGTACTGGAAATCAACTATAAGTAACTATAAGTAAGTAAGTAAGTATACCTAACTTGATAATAGGAAGTACCCCCACCCCCGTGATAATACAAGTGATGTAAGAGTAGATTGAAAAGTTTACATAAAGTCGGGCATTGAAGATGTAAACTCTAGCGCTTTAGATACCATTGTAAAGTCCAGCCGGCAGTAGATGTAAAGACCAGCGCTAGCGATATATAAAAACTTTAGAGCTGAAGATCTATAGTCCAGCGCTTGATAAGATTTTTTTTTTTAGATCTACTACGCTTGATTGTAGCGGATCTGCAGCGTTTGATTTTATATCTTCAACGATGGACTTGACATCTCCAGCACTTTACTTTACATCTCCAGCACTACACTTTTAATGTATCTACAGCGCTAGACTTTACATTTACTGAGAGCTGGCCGCGTTTACATCTTCAGCGCTGGAATTTTGATCTACAGCTGATGACCTTACAAACACAGCGTTACAGACATTTGAAACGGCGTTTTGCATTTGCGCCGATTTTTTCTTTCATTTGCGCTGATTGTGTACAGGTAGATTACAGGTGAATGTTATTTCTTATTTCTTATTTATCATTATAAATCTCCTCTGTTGACAATTATAACATGCATATGGCTGTTGTCCCCTGCTCACCACGGGGAGGTGAAATAAGGATTTTAAGCAATAGAAGTCAATTTATGCGAATGAAACGATTTAGGAGTGTTATTCGTCCTCTTACAATTTTCAACGGGTGTAGCTGCCCAGAAATAAGGTGAATAACGTATAAATACTTTAATAATACGTAGTCTAAGAATGCATGACATCTGTCATCAGAAGGAGCTTTAGACCTAATGTCAAACGTGAAGCAGTCCTCGATTTCATCTGGGGGAAGGAATGATAGCCCAAAAATTGAGATAGCCATTTACCAGTGTCACTTGATTTGTCTTTATACGCAGTTAAAAAATGTATACTTAAACCACCAGTTTATGTGCCAGATGAAAACGACAACAATATATGTGCAGGGGACAACAGTTATATACATGTTAAATTAAAATTGACAATTTATAACATATGTACAACTGGCTAACGGAAGAGGTTTATATTGATAACTAAAAAATAACATCTTGTGCTTAATCGGCGCAAATGATTATGTCAGAGACATGTATAATTTTTATTCTAAACAGAAATTTCTATAACAACTGTGTTTTATCTATACAATATCAGTTATAAACCACAATCGAATTGTTGTTATATATTTTTTTATTTCTCAAGTTGTAAACTTCAAACTGTTATTTATAACACATTTCTTTATTGCTAATTAGTTTACACCAGGAATTAGTATACAAATCCTTGTTAACACGGTTATTTAGTATTCTGTTCATTTAATTAACAGAATAATAAAGCAGTGTTTTCCACAGATTCAGATTCAGATTCAACATCTTATTATAGTCTCACTACTTGCAATGCATAAATATATAGTACATACAGAGTATATACACAATATAAAACAGATAATTTACAAATATAAAATACAAGTACCATTCTTTTAAGAATTGTGAGAGACTGTAAAAATAAATTCTATATAAAAGTATTTTAATACATACGACTGTTAAAATAGTTTTATTTTTTAAGAATATAAAAAGGTATTTCTTCTACTTAAAATATTAAGCAGGTTTTGGCAACCATATCATAACAATTAATATTTTGAAATAAATACACAAATTTATCTTCATCAGACAAATCATAATAATCTACATTATACTTCATATCTTCACTATATAAACAAAAACGCAAATCTGCATGTATTAACGCGTCTTTAAGCTATATTATGTCATGGAATTGTCTAGTGCTTGATTATAAGTATAGAATTCATTTTACATCTTGTATGAAGATTTCGTCGGTTTCGCATATGGATTACAGCTGTTGGTTCCAACATGATGTTTATCTCCTAATCGTCTTAACGATACAGTAAACAGTTATTGATTGCGCATGCATATACATTAAAGGAAAATTTGCATTTGAAGACGTAAAGGAAACGCACTTTAGTCGAGCAAAAATAAATATTCTATACTAAATTTAATTCTTCATTCCGACTATACTGTATGGATTTTCCTCATTGTTGAAGGTCGTACGGTTGCCTATAATTACTTACATCCACTTCATTTGAACCGTTGGCTTTGGTGGATATTACTAGTCTCATTGGCTATATATCATACCACATCTCCTTAATTATTGCGTGAACCCCTGAGGGTTCACGCATATTAATTAGTTAGAAATATAGTCTATGGAGGAATATTCGGAACCCTAATAATTGTTCATTCGGAACATTTATATTTCTTATATGTATTAGCTTCCTGCAATTAAGAGCACCTCCATACGGATCATTTAAGATATCTAAAACTTGGCAATAAAGAACTTTACACAGATCGCTTAACCTCACTTATATGTTATACGGTAATAAAAGATAAAGTTGATAATCTATATAGAAAAAAATGAAATAGATTCCCATACGTATAATTCTTAAAGAATAATAATGATTCAAAACATGGACACATGTACCTCAGTCTTTCAAAAACTCATTAAATTAATCTAGAAATAATTAATGGGGTATTGAGTAATGGTTAACTAGTAGAAGACATTAACTAAATTAAATAAATGTTCCTTACAACTGATCACCAATAAGTGTAACTCTACCACGAGACGCATTGAGAGATTAAATGATCTAATATAAAACCATTTTTGTAAAGGCATAACTTTTAGTTCAAGATACAAAAGATTTCATTAATAAAACACACGAGGTAAAAAGGGAATGCATTCTTATTGCCTATGATGAATCGTTAATGTACACAAATGTAAATGTAACTGCGAGTACTCTCAAATTGTACTTTCTTGTTAATTTGACCTGTTGATACTATTTGTAGTGCTTTTTTTGTTGTTTAATGTTAGCATGGATCTTGTCTATATACCAGCTTTGATTATTTGGAATTACTACAAATTTTCACTTCTTCGTACTATAAACATCAAAATTATTTCATTTCTCCTTAAATACTGTTCTTGCACCTGTACAGGAAGTTTTATCTAGCACTAATTGTATAGATGTATTGTTGATATTCACCCCATATGTACCAAGTGTTAGATTAGTTTTATTGATATAAAGAAATTTCTTGGTATTCCTGATCGGAAGATTTTAAACACACAGAAGAAGAAGTATACTTAACAACAAAATTATTTTCATTTACCTGTGTATAATATGACGCAGGTTTTTTTCAAAAGTGATGATTTTCTAAAAATTGTTTAAAATTTCACAGTGGTATCAAACTTTAACTTTGTTTAAACCTGTTTATTTACTTTTGACCTTAATTATTTATCCCTTATAATTTTTATTAACTATGTATTTGCATTCAGGTATCTCAGATCAAATTTATTCGTTCATTGTGTGTTAATTTTGCGTTTTTTGATTGAGTTAAGCCTTCCAATTGATATTTTATAGTGTGTCTTTCTATGTTGTGATGTTATACTATTGTTTCAGAAAAGGGAGAAGGTTTGGTACCATTAAAACGTTTAATCCCGCTGCAAATGTTTGCACCTGTCCTAAGTCAGGAATCTGATGTACAGTACTTGTCGTCTGTTTATGTAGTTCATACGTGTTTCTCGTTTCTCGTTTTTATATAGATTAGACCGTTGGTTTTCCCGTTTGAATGGTTTTACACTAGTATTTTTGGGGGCCCTTTATAGCTTGCTGTTCGGTGTGAGCCAAGGCTCCGTGTTGAAGGCCGTACCTTGACCTATAATGGTTTACTTTTATAAATTGTTACTTGGATGGAGAGTTGTCTCATTGGCACTCATACCACATCTTCCTATATCTATACAAATATGATCATTGATAATTTAAAAGAAACAGTTATCAATGCAGAAGAATTAATTGACACAAAAGAATATCCTTTAAAGATTCTCAACAAAAAAGATTCAACTGCATTTGTTTAATTAATACAAACAAGTTATAGGAGCGCCCCCTCCATAGGTGGTATATTTTCACCATCATGCACATATCTGCATCTGTCTGTCCTATTAATAAATATCTTAGATAAGTTCAAATGGGAAGAA